GATTGTGAGGGTCCCTACAACCATCAGCTTAGAACAAGCATACTTCACAGGGATAAAAAGACATACCGCTTGCTGATATGAATAAGTAATGATCTAGTAGTCTTTTCCATAGATTTAACCATAACGCGCAATTTGGGAGTCATTGGAGAATTGGCTAGTTTCAGGGGATTGAAGTTTAGAAGAACATTTAGAATTTTATTTGCAACATGAGGACGGGCTCGGATTAAGATGGAGAGGGAATTCAAAGTTGCATCAACAAGTACAGCATCGCTAGACATGTCAGTTCCTAGATGGGGGGAGAATGCGGAATACAATGAGCTCAACATACCTAGAGTTCTCTTGGAAGACGCTGAGGAGTCTATCGAGAAGACCTGACGCTTCAGCTTCAAGGTTTCGGGGAGGGAGAATGGTGTGGTTCGGAGGAACCATAGATAATGATACCTGAAGAGGATCGCCGCGCTATATAGAAGACACCATTAGCATCTTGCCTTTTGGGAAGTGCTATGTACCTCTCATACTTTAGAATCTGCGTCGGGTCCTGTTGTTTGCACCAACACAACCCTCTGCGCAAACTTAATGCAGCATATTCTGATTCCTGGCTTCGCAGTATCCCACATTCGAAGTATGCGAGTTTTGATTGCGACCATGCGCTCCCAAGTCGGTATGTCGTAGGCATTGTTGATACTATTTAGACACACTAGTTAGAACCGGCTCTAAGTTTGGCGCCCATTGCTTGACGCCATCCAAAGATGTGAATATAGGAAGATAGGAGGAATGTTAAGTTCTAAACCATAGCTGTAAATGGACAAAAATTCAACATACATCCATCGAACGACAAGTGGGTATATGCTAGCTGCTGTTTGCACTATACTCTTAACTACTGCACTATCTTCGTGCGGGTTCTCGATCATGTCCTTCAAAGTATCAAGTACGACCAAACTCAATGTTTCTTTCTGCGACGAAGGTATTGTTGGACTTGAAAACGTCTCTGCAAGGAAATCTGCGCCCCATCGTCGTAATTCTACCCTCGCAGATGGTCCAATAATTGGTAGTATTCCTTGAATGATCTGAGTGTAATAGTTGGCATCCGAGAGCACAAGTTTTCGAGCATCATTCAATTGATTGATTTGTTGTTCAACAGTCAAGGTAGCCATGACGATGATGGTAACCTTTAAAGGCTGTGGGGAAAGAAGTCGAATATGATCTACGATGGATTGTATTGTGCAAGCTGCATGTGAGAAAAGACTACACCAATATCAACTATATTGATTTGCTGAGTTTGTAGTCAAATTGACTCCAAACCATTCTGCGAAGCTGTTGTTGAAAGAATTAAGGTTGACAAACAAATTGTGTTTCTTTGATGTGATATTGGCTGAAGGTAAACGCGACCCTTTTTTAAGTTGCGCGATATTGGGAAGCACCAATTCTCAATGGAACTGTACCTAGGTAGTACCCACTAGGCATATTTCAAGGTAGCCTTATCGATAAGGCTGGATCTCATAAATTCCATTACTTGGGAATTTCTTTTTGGAAAGTGGCGCCATTGAACCATATCAATATACCAATTGACAAAAGATTACAAGTCAAGATGCCGTTGTGAGTTCATATTTTGATTCTAGACAGCTGAATGCTTTATACTAATACAGAAACATCATAGAGTTCCTAAGTCTTCCTATTACGATAAGAATTACAAACAATCTGCTGCCCTCATTCGAGCGCGGAGACCATATCTTGTTAAGAATGCTTTGACAGGGGTTGGCATTGCTGCATTTGCTCTTGGAGTGTGTAAGTATCTGCGAGAGTATTTCAAGCCAGCTCAGAGTAATAACTTTCTACAGTTGCTTTCACTATTAGAGCAGTTTCGCAAGACGACTTCGAAGATGTCAAAGTACCAGCCGCACCAACTACACGGGATTCTTGACTGGATTGTGACGATATGACTGAGATCAGCAACGGTTCTTGTGGGCTAAATTCCATATACGTGGAGGAGGCGACTTCATAATACCAACATCGAGCAGACTAGGGGCTACAAAATCACAAGTAGATGCAATGATTATCATAGATTCAATGGGAGGCGTTTTGATAAAGGAAAACTCTTGGGAATCTCAAGGGCTTTAAGTTTGTAGCTTTCTATATTTGAAGCCTCACGTTATAAATACAGATGGAGCTAGTATTATTGCAATACCGCCTAAAGGCTGAAGGGAATCATATACCATATGAATGGTAACCATCATACCACAGAACGCCGGACCGAATGAATGCTTTTCTGCCATAACACCCAACATGCACCTTGAACCATATATTTGCGCCCTCGTAGTCATTAAAACTTTACTTGTAAACTCGAAGCGTGAGTTTGGATTTGTGGAGATGCACGAGTCACTCACGGCGGAGATATGCGGGTCATCTCTTGTACCACGTCCTGTAGTCCGGCGCGTGATGTCTGGTGGATTTGATTACTGGCGACGGGAGGAACCTGATGGTTATGCTGCTCGTTGGAGATGGATAACAGTGGATGAGGAGGTCTAGTTTGCTTTGGTGACAAAGATGGCTGTCGACTGCCCAATGGTGATGGTACAATGGTGTGTGAGTGCGAAGTATTAGAAAAAGGATTATGTGGAGAAACTCGTCCACCAGACGTCATGTATCCGTTAGTATGCTGTAGTACTGATGTTGACACATTAGAGAAAGTTCCTGAGATAGGGCCGCCTTGTTGATGAGAATGGCGACGGGACTGTACTTGAATTTGCGACAAAGGACTTGTGGTTCTTGGTGTATGCTGGGCTGAAGTCTGACGCTGTATTAAATGGGAGTTGGAAGGATGCTGCGGGTTCGCCCAGGGTGTTGTTTCAATGAAATGTTCTTCCGCCGGCTTATATCGCGATGTTGTCCTTGCTGTTCGCAATGCCGCAAACTCCTGCAGAGAAAAATTTGCAGGTTGATGCACACTTCTAGTCCCCTGTGAAAAAGCCCCGTCAGCTTGCCTGTCCCTTTTTGGACAAAGGTTTCCTTCTTGGACTAAATCCAACCATGACTCCCAAATAATGCACTTACTCCCATTGCATTAATTACACCCATCTTCTCAAAGTCCTCTTCGAGCTCTGCAGGCGTTGCTCGCGACATCGAAGGAGCGGCTGGAAATCCGACATGTTTTGCGATGCCCGAGAGAATAGAAACCTCGTTGGAATATGCTACCTGGTTCTGAACCTGTTGCGATCTTCGAGTGGGATAGTTCAAAGTGTACTCGGGTACGCCGGTGGAGTAATTTCTTCTATCATGTTGTATTTCGTACCATTGTTTACCTAGTTGCTCCATCTTGGTTTCTCGAATTTCTCTTGCTTCTTGTCGATATTGAATAAGAATCTGGCTCCTCCTCGCAACAGCATAAGTTTTGAGAGCCTGTAGCTCATATTCACGTAATTTCTCTGCGACACGGATTCTCTCATCTCTCCGTGCCTCGACAGGCTTCATCTGTTCAAGAAGATCGGGGTGTGTGGGATGGTCTTGTCGGAGCATAGCCTCCTCTCGACTTATTTGCTCGAGGCGCGCATCGTATAATCTATAAATATATCAGCGAATGAAACAGTGATCAAGAATGTAATCTGACCTGTCCCTAAAGACTGCGAAGTCCTTCTCAATGCCTCCAAGTTGATCAAACGCGCTCATCTTTTTCTCCACTGATCGAATCTGCATTAGAATAATTGTGCATGTTTAGTTTCAACTTGCTGCGACACAAACTCACATTCTTCTTCTGTCTTTAGTACGAGATCTGCTTCATCATCTTCCTCATTGTCTACTTGGTCCTCCTCGCCATTCCGTGTATCATCTTCGCCGTTGGTTATGATGCCATTGTGCAAGCTGTCTGACTCGTCCTCAATATTGATACCATTCTCCACAGCCTTTTTCTTCTTCCTTCCTCGTCTTTTAGGTGACGCCGGTATGCCAGGGGTTTCGGTAGCTTCATCATCAGGAAGCATGGTCTCTGTTACATCCGCAAGAGCCTGCTCCTGTGGTCCATCACCCTCTTCGCCTGATATATTACCACTTATTGTATTTGATGCATCTTCTTCTACGGGTAATTCGTCGTCGATTGCAAAGTTGTCGCCTTGATTAATTATAGAGCCTGTCCGCTTGGGTAAAGGTTCATCAAAATCATCTTCGAGTCCGCCGCTGCCCATTATTGATCGTTTGCGTTTTCTTGAATCAATTTCGGAAGTAGATAACGCTCTCTTTCCTTCGCCCGCAGAATCTTCTAATGACGTACGAGCTGTCGCTGGCTTGCGATCTAGCTCGCCATCATGATGGTGAGAGCTTTTAGGGCTATCATTAGAAACGGCAATGTCCTCGTCAGATAACTGATCTGCGTCATCTTCGTCATCTTCCCTCTCATCTGCCATGATCTGGTTGTGTAGTTTGCTTGGGCTGCGCTCGTTCGAATCGGCGCCAGTACGGGAATTAAGAACCACATTCTTTTGCACTCTTAGTTTGTGCGGAGATTCTTCCAGTCGCTCTGTCTCTGCTTCAGAATCGTCATCTTCAGAAGGGTTACTAAGGTCGTCCGATGCTTCGGCATCGTCGTCATGATCTTGCTCGGCATCTTTGTCTTCAATATCACTCAAACTGCTAGAGCGATCTTCTTCCACGTCGAGATCACTAAGCTCGTCGTCAACCGAAGCTTCGTCGGGTATGATTGGATCAACCGCTGGCTCAACGTCAATTTCGCCACTCATCTTAAGAGTAAATGAATTGTTGTAAAATTATTGTGGTACTAGTATTGCTATTGTCGCAAGACGAAGCATTTGGAATCAAGGTATAATTATCGGTAGATCCTCGGAATATGAAAGGCGGTCAATAGCTGGTGGCAGTAACAACCCCGTTGATCCCTGCAAGCTGCAACATTTTTATTTTTTTAATGAAGCCCCGAAATCTTAATATCTCGGGACGACGAAAGGTAGCATATTACCTGCATCACTTATTTCCAACGAAAATATAACCGAATCGCAATGGGTAAACGTAGTCGGAACGAGAGTACCAGCGGAGGGGAGAAAGCCAATGGTAAAGAAAGTGCTGGTAGATCAATTTTTACTGAAAACAAGGCTGTCGACCCTACTCTAGCCTTGCTATTTGCATCAAGTGTAAGTCTTGAAGTTCTGGTATCGCGCAATCTTGCTGATAAATACTAGGCTGGCCCAGTACAAGCTCCTCCTAAATATAGGTATCAAGAAGCACCTTTGCCTCGTAGAAATATCGAATCGCAGGAGGGAGAATCATCCGAGGTTTCTGACGATGATGAAGACGCCGAAGATGTCGAAATGGGCGAGGGTGACGATGACTTGAGTAGCATTGAAGGTGATCTCGAGGATGCTGAGATTTCGGGTCTATCTGCCGAGGAGGATGATACCAACGACATACATGACGAGGTACCCGAATTGGATAAATTCATCGAAGCTAAAAATGAGAAACCCGAACGAAAACGTAAAAGGAAGACCGATGAACCAGATCTTGAAGGAAAGTACCTTGAGAAGCTGGCCAGGGAAGAAGAAAAGGAAGAGGAAGAACGCCAAGCCGAAAGACGATTGAAGCGCCAGAAGTTAGCTGCAGAGCAAAAGCCGGTTTCAGATGAAAATATGGAAGAAGGTGGTTCTGGTGAGGACGAGGAGGATGCTGATTCTGATAGCGAAGCCGAAGCTGAAGCTGAGGATGATACAGAAGAATCTGGTTCCGAGGAGATAAGCCACAAGAGAAAGACGCCATCCGATGTTCCTTTACATGAATCTCTCGTACCAGATAAGGATGCTGCCGAGCTCGAAAAGGCATCGCGTACTATTTTCCTCGGAAATGTAGCAAGTTCAACTATATCATCTAAAGCCGACAAAAAGATCCTTATGTCTCATCTGTCCTCTTTCATTGATGATCTCCCTCCTCCCCCAGCTGGCAAACCATCTCACAAATTGGAATCTCTCCGCTTCCGTTCCACTGCCTACGCTACTGCTGCATTACCAAAGAAAGCTGCTTTTGCTAAAAAGGATATTATGACTGCTACAACAAAAAGCACAAATGCCTACGCAGTCTACTCTACAGCATTTGCAGCCAGGGAGGCCGTTAAGAAACTCAATGGGACTATAGTACTAGATCGTCATCTTCGCGTAGATGGCGTAGCGCATCCTGCGAAGACCGACCACCGTCGATGTGTCTTCGTTGGAAACTTAGGGTTTGTAGACGATGAGTCTCTTCTTGAACAGGATGGGGAAAATAGCCGCAAACGGTCGAAAATACCCTCTGATATCGAAGAAGGCTTGTGGAGGCAATTTGGAAAGGCTGGTGAAGTAGAGAGTGTACGGGTTATTCGCGACGAGAAAACTCGCGTCGGAAAGGGTTTTGCTTATGTACAATTTACCGTAAGTTTCTTTCATCACTCAAAAAACATTCGAGCTCTTATTAATGCAGAAATATAGGACGCAAATGCAGTTGAAGCTGCCCTACTTTTCAATGAGAAGAAGTACCCGCCGATGCTTCCTCGTATTCTTCGTGTTGTACGCGCCAAAGCTCAACACAAACAAGTCTCGTCCCGACCCACAGCTCGTCAACCTAAATCATCAAAAACCTCTCAAGTATACAATCCAAAGGTTGATCCAAATCAAGCTTCTTTGCAGGGTAGAGCTACCAAACTGTTAGGGAAAGCTGGTGGCGCAAAATTCAAGAAGACCGGGGCCAACGATACGACTTTGGGCTCCAGGGGAGACAAGCAAGTCAGTGGAAACGGAGAAGCCAAGAGTGGAATGGCCGGTATCAAAGCACCTGAAAGTTTCGTTTTTGAGGGTTATAGAGCTAGTGCAAGCAAGGGCAAGCCGAAGGATCTAAAGTTGGGAGGTAAGGGTGGTGGAAAGAAGAAGGGTAAACCCAGAACAAGATCGTCAAACAGAGGTGCCGAGTGGAAGAAGCGAGGCTCGAAGTAAGCTCGGGTTGTTTAGATTGTAATCAGAATAATGATGTAGTAGAGTAGTAGTATTGGTAAATCAAATACTCATGAGAAAGGAAACTCTTTGGGTTAGTCTTGACTTTCATATTTTGAACGTACATCTATGGATACGTGAAACCGACTTAAACAAAATTGAAAGATGCTGCATCCAAAATATTGCCCAGTCGGATTGCTACTTGCACAGTTTTGCAATGAATTGCTCTTCAATCTCAGGCTTGTCTTGCTCCAAAAGTGCGGGGCATCGTCTGTGATGATACAACACACGTGATATCAATCAATTTTCATGGCCATTTTTTCTATGAACAACCCAAGATTTTCTATCCCACATCCACATTCTTCTGAACCCCGATATCAAGATGTCTGGCTTTAGCTTCTCATTTGCAGGCGATGATATAGAGATAGATCCAACTCAAGATGCTCTTCCATCTGTCTCCAAGCAAGCTGCAGAAACCGGCACCCTTGCACCACGGAAATCCAGCGGGGCATTCCCGGTAGCAGGACAACCACTTTTACCACCGACTTATCACACTTTAGAGGAATTTCTAAAGACATTGCCATCTCAGATTGCTTATTCCACGCTGGCTGTTAAGTTGGATGATGGTAAGGAGATTGGTATTCCAAGAAGAGAGTTATGGGATGTCAGAGCGCAGTTGATGGCTGAGGATGAGGGAAATGGAGAAGGGCTTTTGGGATTAGGGAATGATGATGTAAAGACTGGGGTTTATGAGGGAGGGTTCAAAAGTTGGGAGAGCTCTGTGGATTTGGTTAAGGTTCTCAGTGGGAGAAGTATTGTTGGGGAGGGGAGGGGGAGAGTTTTAGAGGTATGTCTTATTTTCATTGAGACTTTAATGACGGTGGAGCTATCACGAAGAATTATGCTGATAAACCTAATAGCTTGGTTGTGGAACTGCTCTTCCATCTCTAGCAGTTTTCCAATGGTTCCTAGAAAACACAACCTCTTCCACATCTGGGTTGGAGCTTGGACTTGCAGACTACAATCCTACAGTCCTACAGCTCGTCACTTTACCCAATATTCTCCTTTCCTGGGCACAAATCACAAAATCTGAGTCTTGGGAGGCAGAAGGCGAACTCGATATCGACGAGGCACTTATCTCTGAATTCATCTCTGGGCTGACTTCTCGCAACATCAATATATCACTCTTCTCTGGTGCTTGGTCTCCAGACTTTGTCTCTCTAGTCACTGATAAGTTGCATCTATCATGCGAAAGCACAATCATTATTGGGGCTGAAACCATTTATTCTCCAGCTGCTCTGAAAGCGTTTGCTGAAACTTTGATGGCATTACTTGACTTAAGCACAGGGTCAAATAAGACGGCGTTGATAGGGGCCAAGAAGGTATATTTCGGAGTTGGCGGTTCGATAGAAGATTTTATTGAGGATGTCACAGCGCGTGGAGCTCTTGTAAACCAGGTTAGGGAAGAGTCGGATGGTGTTAGAAGAGCTGTTATAGAAGTTGGAAAAGCAGGCTGAAATTTAAATTTGTAATCATAAGTCATATTCATAAAATTCCCTAGCATTGGTGATAACTTTCGACTGTGTTAGCAGGATTGAGGAGTGATCTTTTTATTAGAATCCTTGAATGTTTCTGCTGCTCCCCTAGATCACATTCTGCCATGATAATCACTTGTATCACCACATGTTTAGATACGTATCAGGATGTTCAATGACTCAATTTGTTTTGGTCATTTTCTAGTTCTATTTATCACCCCGAATGTGGCGTATTTCGCACTTCTATATCTTATCATTTCGAGGCCGATCCTTACACATCCAGTACTGTAAGACCTCATCAGACCACACATACAGTCATGTCTTGAAGGCATTCATAGTCAGGTGAACTTTGGCCATATACTCGACTGGTAGCAGAGCTATCGAGTCCTCGACACCTTCAATGCCCTTTACTAACCTTACAGTTCCATTTCAACACTTCTATCCACTTAGTATTTTAATCTGAAGCTCAATGCTAACGCGTACCTACTCTAACTTCATTTTGACACAGAGTCATAACTTCGATACGTCAACCTTGTGTTCATTGGATGACGCTATTTATTGATATCCTACAGAGACAAAGGATAATTCTGAACGATCTTACCAGTTCATCCAATTCCACGGGGGACATTCAATTATCTGTTATCCGGATACACCAATTTTGTTAAAAATCTAAAAGAGCATCGAATTCCAAATTACATGTTGTATCCCCAGCCAGCCCATACACTATCCTCAGCACACTCTGTACCCTCAGCGGTACAATAGAATGGATCCAGCTCATCCAAATGATAACAAGCCTATAATGAATAATGAATCAATCAACAAGATGCTCTTCCATGTCAGCCACCATAAATTCCCATGCGCCACTTCCAAAGCAAGGGAAATCTCAAGGCCAAACAAGCGATGACAAAACATATAAAGTGGAACCCTACTCATAAACATCAACATCAACATCAACGGCAAAAAGTATTCAGCCAAGTAAATCAGCCTTGAAGTAAACAACGAACCCGCTGGCGAGATATCAAAACATCAAAACATGTAACCCAGCACTGATCAAGCGCGGAGATGTCCCCCATATTGTATTTATGATACAATACAACTAATTAACACACGAGACTCTGCATGGGTCCGGATGTAGCTCGAGAGTCCGAAACTGAACCACTAAATCACGATCCTCAAACCACTCGTGTCGGTCAGTTAATGTGCTTGTCCTGCAGCTATTCGATACTATATAGACTCGAATGAGAATTCTCACCGGTATTATAGCTGAGCAATGCAAATGTATCTAGTATAGGAATCCGACAGTAGCAAACGGATGTATAAAAGAGACATTTTTATTTCCTGGTCCAAATGAATATTTGTTTTCATTGTGATTTACCTTCAACCTTGAATACCTAGCAGTTTCTACTTCGACTCATTAGAGCACCATCCTTGTGTTGTGCAGACCGCTGCAACAGAGAAGAGGTAAAAAAAAAGGGGGAAATATCCTTCGTAAGTGCAAATACAATGAGTGAATTTAAAACGAGGAGCTGATGGATACTCGAAGTGATCATAATTCCGCTGATTTCAAAGAGCTAGTTCACCCTGCGGTTCAAGAGCACGTGCGCGAGTAGTTTTTTCGCAATAAAAATAATATACATCCGGTGTTGTATGCGACAAATCGGTAGAACCGCTTTGAACCACTCTCAAGTAACTTTCAACAGCATATGGGCCGCTTCAATCACGAGATGACAGATCCCTTTTCAAAAAAAAGATTCCTAGGTAGCCCATGTCGCATATCTCATTCAGATATACGATCGCGATACTGTCGCATTGCAGGTGGGCATTTATTTAAAGCTCAACGAATAAATGCCCGAGTAATTTGCTTTTCCTCATAATTTCAAATTTTACCAGCGCGCTTTCGTCGTTTTCAAACGGTTTATCACACATGTCTCGCTATCGTTTAAAAGAATCTTCCATCCTCATCATTAATACATGGATTAAATGCTTGATTCGATGTAACGCATGATTGTCAATATTTCTCTTCTACATTCTCCGCATTTTTGATTCGACCTGTCTTCAAATTGTGCGCATCCTTTCCTGCGAGAGGAGGATCTTCCACATTGTTGGGGTCGTGAGAGAAGGGCACTATCGGACGTAGACTGCATAATTCCATACCTTGTTGCGTGAGAACAACATCCACCGATAAGGAATCAAGCTCTGCCAGTGCAGTATAGATGAAGATCTAAAAGCAACTCTCATCAGCCACATTCATCACAATGACGCTACTCTGCAGATATCTGACCGTATTTGGCTGATCTCATGAATGCTTCAGCTGTAGACGAAAGGAGCGCATAGCCCTATCAGGCGAAGTCGCCGATCACTTGGTATATCAGAATATAATACTATGCGGTTTCAGTGCGAAAATCCGTCACTTGACATGAGTATTATGCGTCTATATCGACGATTTGATTCGTCAAATAACAACTGACGTCTCTCGCTCAACTGCCAAGCATGTGGACGAAACCCAAATATGAGCCTACGGAGAATAAGCTGCCAATACGTCAAGCTAATGTAGCGTACTGCAACAATGCATATGTACAACCTACAATTAACGCAATATAAATGCATGCAGTACTCTATTGCGTTGCGCGTCACTAGCAAGTACCAATGACGTTAGACGGTTATATAAAACCATATACAATGTGCTATCTCGGCTTGAACGGCACATTATAAGAACGTCGGGCTCATCAAGTGCTGAGGATTTGAAATTACTGCTCAATCCGCTGGGGGCTCATTTCATCCTTCATTTCGCTCACGCCGATCGAAGGGACACACCCCCGAATTGAGCCAACTACTTGCGATAGGCGTGCACACCCTCGACAGCCAGCCTTATGCATGGCTTGATGTCAGCCATTCATCGCCAAGAATGCCAAAACGTGCCATGCCCGCGATGTGCTCACGCCACTGAAGTTATGGCGCAAATGATGGCTGGAAGGAAGGAGCCGCCCTGTCGGGACATGCGGGTGTATAATGCGACGGCAGGCATCCACCTTCGTCATATTGTGAGACAGTTTGATAGACGAGCAAAGTATATGCTTGAGATGGACGTCTCCCATTTCGAGGCCTGCGCACGTGGGAGATAGTGGTTCGGAAGACTTATCGCAGCGAGATTTTGCCGACTAGGAGAAATTCCTAAGTAGATTGGTGTATAAGCAGTACGGTTCGGGTGATGGATAGATTATCGATCTATTTGCAAGCTCTTATCAATGATGTTTGTCAGAAAACATCAAAATCGCAAAGGAAAGGCAAAGTCGGTCACCGTACAGATGCAGGGACTGCAGCATCCTCACCGATATTCCCAGGACATGCATTCATCCAGATCATGGGTTGCCCCACCCGGCCGCTAGAGCCAACGCTTAATCCAAAATCCGAAAAACCTGTGAAAAGTTGAGAGACAAGAACGTGTTGCTTTCTCGCTACATGATTGGTTCACTTCAACCTCATCTTTCAACAATGAAGGGGAACCACCAAGAGATTGAACGCGAGTCCAAATTTACATTCGAGACGAAATCCGCCAAGTTCTTCTTATGCACGACAGTAAAAAAGTTTTATCTGACAGATTCTTTCGATGGAAAATGTGCCGTCTTGGAAAGCTTGTGCTAGTGAAAACTCACCCAAATACTCAAGAGGGAAAATTATCACAACGACGACCATCCACAATAACAAAAGACCACTGCAAAATGATAGCTACAATATAAATTAATTATCTGGGGCACCCGCACATGGTCTTTGACTGCTCAGTGGGGGATAGTCACAATATGAATAATAGTACACAGCAGGTAAGTGGAGAAACATGCCGTTTCTCATCTTGACAGGAAGAATGACAACGATTTACTATAAGACCCCCCATGAACATTGGTTTTAAGCCAGGGTGTTGGATAATAGACCCGAGGAAGACTCAGGAAGTGCATGCTCTCACTGTTCAATCATGTCTCAAAGCAGACAACCTTAAAAGGCTACCGTGGCTGGCTCCGTGTTGTCCGATTTGGATATTTCGTTCAAGAACAAAGTGGGGGACGTGGCCTTAACGTTGACGGATTTATCAATCAATATCACAATTGATACCTATTATCTAGTTTAGACGTATAGGATCAACGACAAGCTACTGAACACAGCATCAGAACACCTGAATCCGTTTGAATCCAATTGTACACTTGCTACAAAGTATTTGGCATGACAGAACTTGACAAATTTCGGGGAATTTTCTTGGTATTGGTATTCCGGATCGAAGAAGATTATTTATGACGAACCAACTGGTTTTGGGAAGTACTTACTCTCCTACTGTGCCTATCTAGGTAAGCAACTTATGAATTACAAGCGAAAGTCACAGTAGCAATCTAGACCAACGACTAGCTGCTGCATCTCGAACCAAAAAAAAAAACAGTTACTACATTAGTTTTAACACTCGATAACCTTAAAGCGGGTTTAAACGGCGAGAATTGTTGGAATTTACTATACGAGCAAAGGCAATTTGTCGAGAAAGTCTGTTACTACCTACCCCATAAGTAAGGTTAGATCGCACTAGATGATGCATTCATTTATTTCATTCTCGGTTCTAAAATAATCGTCTCAACTCTCAAGTCTCAAGTGATCATAGGAAGGTACTGTACTTAGGTAGGTATCTTTAGCAAGCGACTTCTTTAGCTCAATTGATATTCGCATCACAACCCAATTAAACGTCATGCCCCTTCATTTTTGTTATGTACCTCCCTGTTCAATCCCATCTGAATTTTGATTAGATTGGCACGTGACTAGATGTATTGTGCGAATGGAAAATCGAAAAGAAAGATCTCTCAATTCAATCCATAATCAGTTTGCCCTCCAGTCTCGACAGATCAGACTGGAATGATCACGCCTGCCGAGGTGAGTAATGAGTATGTGGCAAATTCAAACGAGTTCCACTACCGCCCCAGCCATATAATAAATCCAACAACGAAACGACCAGAAGCAAAAGGACAAGTCAACTTGATCCGATAAAGATAAATCCACCAAAGGGACTAAGCCAATCCAAGTTACATTGATTTTCCTCGCTTTCTTCCCAAATCCCACCCGGAATTCGAAAAGGTCCACTTTAGCCCCGCCTGAAAGTTTGGAAGACCCACTTCGGAGGACTCCTACTTTATCCATTTTTTTCATGCTACCAATCTAGGATACTGACCTACCTGGTACATGAACATGGACCACCGTAGTGAAAAAAAAGGTAGGCTATGATCTAATTCCCTTATTTATTTCATCTCCCCCCAATTGCTCCTTTGCTTCCTTTCTCTTCATCGACAAATTTCTTCATTTCCCCCTTCATTGCCCAAGCAATAAGGGCTTCGTCGTCAAATTCCTCAAAACTCTCACTCTTTGGGGTATCAGTCGCCAATTCGCACAATGGCGAATCCTGTTCACACCCACGAACATCATAATCCTACCAACATGGGAATAATTGGTCTTCCTCATGGTCCGGAAACCGGTGATGACCATGTGTCGATATACGATCTGGGAGCTGATGAAGCTGTCTTCAACGAGTTTCTTTACCCCGATGATATTTTCACGGCAGAGCACGTTTATTGGGCAGATCTCAAATTGACAGACAAAATCTCCTTCATCACTAGAACTGAGGGGGCTGATGCAAAGAAAGAGATCAAGTCAATTTTGGCAATGATGAAAAAGGACCCCCTCAGTCCTGTCAGTTGGTATTTCAGCAATGCTGTTCTCCCTGGTGCTGGTTTGGGTCTTGAAGGGTATGTCAATTTACGTGATTCATATTTCCAATACTAATTATGTTTCCAGATACGTTCTCTTCTCTATCGGAAACTTGGGACCCCTCTTCTCAGCAGTCTGGCCGCAATGCTGGAAAACTTTCGAGGTTTGTAGCGAGCAATGGACTTATGCTGTCACTTACTTGGAAATTATTGGTATTATTGTTGGTCAAATCTTAGTCGGATACTTGGGTGACAAGATTGGCCGTCGTTGGGGTTTAATCCAAGATGCTGTCATCATGTTTCTTGGTCTCGTCATGCTCATCGCTTCTTGGGGTACTACTCTCAATGGTTGGGTTATTTGCTATGCCTGGTCATTGTTCTTCTACGGTATTGGTGTCGGTGGTGAATACCCAATGACAGCCACTGCTGCTATGGAAAGTGCCACTGCATCAAACCGCCAAACAACCAAAATGGACAGACTTCATCGTGGCCGCAAGGTAACCATGGCCTTCCTTATGCAAGGTTGGGGTCAATTCTTCAATCAAGCCATTCTCATCCTCTTGCTTCTCATTTTCCATCATGGAAGTGGAAACCCACCTTATTCCCAAGTCTCAGCACAATGGCTTTTCAGAGTCTCATTCGCTATCCCCGCTGTCGGTACTCTCTGGCTTGTCTACTACCGCATGTATAAGATGCCTCTCATCTCCAAGGGACTCGATATTGCTAAGAAGACCACAAACGTCACTGGATACGACAAGGAGTCTCTGAGCTTAACTGTCAAGCATTTCTCGGGTCGCCTAATTGCTACAGCCGGAGCCTGGTTTTGCAACGATGTCTTCTTTTACGGCAACAAACTTTTCCAGTCTCAATTCATCAAGGTCATCTCGCCAGGCTCAACTTCAATTATGGAAGGGTGGTTATGGAACCTGTGCAACGTCGGAGTATCTCTTGCCGGTTATTACTGCGCCTCGTTCCTCATCGACAACAAGCTCTATGGACGGAAGTGGATGCAACAAGTTGGATTTGCTTTAGATTTCATTCTTTTCGTCATCCCAGCTTTCCATTACGCCCATTATACTAGTATCGCGGGTATCAAGTCTTTCCAGGCCATGTACTTCTTGTCGTCCTTCTTCAACCAATTCGGTCCAAACAGTGTTACTTTCCTCGTCGCTGCAGAGGTTTTCCCAACACCTATCCGTGCCTCCGCACATGGATTTTCAGCAGCTGTTGGTAAATTGGGTGCTTTATTCGCATCCGTTCTTTACAATTTCATTACAACCCAGCAAAAGTTTTACATCGTCCCATGGTTCGGTCTTGCTGGTATGCTCCTTACCGCTGTCTTCCTTCCAGATACCACCGGTCTCGATCTCAAGGAACAGGAACGAAGATGGAAGTACATCAGATCCGGTAGGGAATCTGAATATCACGGTATTGCCATTCATCCAGCACATTTGTCCTTATGGGAAAGATGGATGAAGGCTGGAAAGAACTATGATCCTAAGTTGGATGCTGGAGACAAGATTCTTGAGATGCGCCAAGAATGGGAACTCAAACAAACCGAGAAGGGAAAGAATGAGGAGGATATTGCAACTTACGACGATGATTGGAGCCAGGAAATTCACCAATATTTCCGTTCTGATAACAGCCCGAGAAGAACTCGCGCCCCAACTCGTGTAGAACCGATTTCCGAATCTACGAGTGATGAAATTACGAGAGAGAAGTAGTTAGGTATCTGATGATTTCTTGGGTCTCTTACGGCGTTTTGGGTTGGTATTTGGACGGGAGATTCCCCCAGAAACTTGTACAACTTGATGTTGGAAAAGTTGTTTATTCATATAAATATTTACTCATAACGATCACACTGGCTTGCATGCCCTTGGTGGGACGAGATACATAGAACCTAATGATAAAGATTTGATCTTACAATGATTGTCGTCTGATGTAGAATTGAAGTGATTTATGTTTTCCCGGTTCAGATTTGACAAGCAAAATTGTCCTTGATCCAAGCTTGGCTAATAAAAGTCTGACATGCACACTTCTATAGTGTGTTTTAACCTGCAATTCAAACTCACATGCCATCATTTTGTTCATCGATGACATGTGAATTTGGGCCGGTGAGTGCACGGCCCCATCTGTGCCAATGACTTCAGATGAAATAGACCTTTTTCGACTTGACACAAACACGATTTGAAACTTAACAACCAGATGATAATTTTACATTCTTCTGCATCGACTGGACTCATGAAGATCAGTAATGTCATCGGGAACGCTTATTGCGGGATCTTAGCTTGATCATCTTTGATGCATGAGATGAATACATGCAGCCACAATCACGTATGGCCCCCAAAATCTCATGATAAGCGTTCGAAGTACCTCCTGTGTTTGCTTGGACATACATGAGGGCGTGTTCATCGAGATGGGTTGGTTGGTTTTACTGGCTTGTTGTATGTGTAAGCATGTAAGGCTCACATACCATCAGCGCTTCATCGAGTATCTGTTTGTGCGGCTCTGAGCTGCAAGGTTATACGTAACCTGGAAGATGGTTACATACCTAGGTAAGGTGGGCTTACATTGAGACTGCTCATGAGATGAGAAAATAATCGGAAGACTTCTTTTCCTTACCTTTGCTCTACAATTACTGTTCATACCTGATCAAAAACAATCAATCAATTAGAGCATATCGCTATATTTCTTTATACATGGTTTCCTTGCATCTCTAGGTACGTCAAAAATGGAGATTCGTCGTGGAACTGATTGGCATACGGATTCGGAAATATCAATGGTTCAGTTGAGACCGCTCAAGACTTCTCCCTCCACTAGAACCTCGATTGGCGATAATGAGGTTCAATCGCAGAATTCCGTGCCACAAAACAGCGCCGAAACATCACAAAGTGAGCCTGCTAGACTCAATGGCCGCCCGAAATCAGAGTTAGATGAATTACCTTTCACAGGAAGTCCCTCTCTAGGACAGAAGCCAAGAACTACAAAAGTCGAGTGAGAAAATTCTCTGCTCCAATAAATGTTTATGACTGACAGAATGACAGCATAATCGGAGTTCCTGCTATTGGAGGAGATCCACAGATGACATGGATGCCTGAAGCTAAATTCACACAGGATGGGCTCTTTCCACTTGATAATGATAGCGAGGTGAAGTCGGCATTTATGAGAATGACACCTGTATCACCAGCTTACTCGATGAAACATTTTCATAAAAGGAGACCTGCGTGGATTGTCCGCGATATTCGTAGTCGCAAGGAGCTGAGCATGGCTCGAGTTCTTTTGTATGACCATGGGTACCCGAAAGACGGCGATACATTGAAGCAATTAGCTAGTAGGCTTCTGGAAAGTGTCAGAAAGCTAAGGTCAATTGAGGTAGGAAGAGCATGGTATTGTTCGATACCTCAATTCGAATTGTTGCACCTATGAATTTACTATAAACCCTTGCCTAACATATACACAGGAGGAAAACCGTCCCCTTTTTTTCGTCTGTCACAGTACCGGGGGGCTAGTACTCAAAATAGCTCTAACCGATGCTCGAAGGCGCGGAGATCCAATTCTTCATGATTGTTATGGTGTCACTTTTTTTGGTATGTCCAAAAAGGAAGGCGATAAATGGCTTGCCCACTCATATAGCTAACGCAATCATAGCAACACCACACAGAGGCTCGAGTTATTTGTCGCAGCCAGGATTTTCTGGCAGTATCCGAACGATCATGGGTCTATCACGGGAACTCCCAATATCCATATCAAGTCAGCTGGAACTAGATCACCATTCTCTGAAGCAAATCGGGAAAGACTTTAAAGCTCTAGCCACGGAACTTAAAGTGTGGACCTTTTTCGAGACAATAGATTCAAACATTACCGGTCCAGATCAAGGTAAACCTTTTCATGCACCTATCACATCTATTAAATCCGCAATACTGAATCTACGTAACGAGAGTGTATATCCATTGGTGAGCACTCATACAAAGTGTGCTGCATTCGGCTCCGCAAATGGGCATACTAAAGAAGCTTATTTGGTGGCGCTAGCCGCTCTGGTCGAGCAGGCTTGTAAATTGAGTAAACTCACCCACTGTGAATTAAATCTTGAGCAAAGAGTGGAGGTAGAGATCAATGGTTTTTATGAAGGCTCTGCTACCATCCCAACTAACGAGCCCCCAATCAGAGTCTGGTCAACAAACAGATCTCTGCACGATTTTACACGAAATGGTCCGGCCAAGCTTTTGAAGGAACGAAGGGAAGAAGTATCAGCTGCCCCAATGGACGGACAATATTTACGTCACAATACCCGTGCTCAATATTTGCCTATGGATAAGATGACTTCTGATGCCAAGATCAAGGGTCACGCATTTATTCCTAAATCAACATCGAAATTGAACCCTTTTAAGAGAGGTTCAAGCCCTTCTCCCCAGACTCGAAGAGCGACAAAGATCAAAGCCAAAGGATCGCCAGATGTCAGTGAGAGTAAAAAAATAGGACCGGTTCCGTCTCCGCCTACTTTGGTAAATATTACTTTTACACAAATCGGGGAAATGAAACTGATCATTGATATAGATAATGACCTCCGATGTGGATGACAATGTAGGTATAGTTACAGAACTGTGGGCGCCTATAAAACTGCGCGATTCACTCCCAACCGCGCAATCAAGATCAAGCGATCCTGATGTTGCCAATGCCACATCTCGTATATCGTTCAAACAACACAAATTATCTATTGACCATAAATTGAGCATTACATAGGGATTACAGCCATCTATTCGAAAGTCGCGAACCGAGAACGACGAAACAGCAACCAGGCCCGAGCCTCCCCGGAGGTACAGCGAATCTCTGACGGCTCAGAGTTCTTTCTTGAGTCCACATCGTGCCAGTCTTCATCAAGAGAAATCCTCGTCATCTGCAGGACGTGAAGAAATTGAAATTGTTCTCACTCCCAGCGTACCTCCTTTACTGTACCCTAATTTCTCGAACCTCAAGCTTACATGGATACATGTACCGTTCAACAATCCTACCTGGGTCCCAGTAAGCTCTGAATTTTCCTGTTTATCTCTTTCTACTAACTGAAAAGGATGTTCTTGAAAGAATATCGAACGAAAAGGGGCCAGATGTCCACAGTAAAATGTTAGATCACGAGCACTGGCATTCAAAACAAGTACGTGGAAGGCACCAAGAACATCATCATGCTTGTTTCTTAAAGCCTTATTGTTCTTTTTTCCGTTTAGAAAGTGGTAAGTCTATTCTCCCATGCTAAACACGTCTACTTACGAACGTTTGAATCAGTATCACCTTTAGCATCCCCTAAAATTGGCATTGGATCTTTTGACATGAATCATGTTCAAATGTGCTTGCTTATATTTGCCCTATCTTCACTTTGATACCTATAAGGTCCTTGTGAAAAGGAGAGATTTCGTTAAACAACGAATCGAGCAAGGTCGATCGAGACCTGTTCCTCAACAAGTGTCAAAGCTTGACTCACAAGAGATTCAAGTCCTCTGGCAGTATCTGGGACACGACCCTCCAGTAAATGCTCGGCGTACACTAGATCAATTTGGATATCCGAGTCTTCTCGATACAAGGGCGAGAGATGATGATCAGATGCTGTATAAGATGACCAAAGAGCGGCATACCAAGTCAAACGGTACAACAAATAATACTGCTGACGGACAGAGCAATGTAGCTCGGATGATGAGACCAGCTCAGGGAAATGATAAGGAAGATGCAGTTGATGAAAAAAGTGACGATTCCGACAACCCAAGCGATAGAGATGCGATGTCTGATGGCGACGTTCTAGATGGGAATGTTCTTATGGTTGATCAGCTCTGGTTATGGGTCATTGATGGTATGTACATTTGAGGGGCAAAACTTCAAAGACTAAATGTGGCGATTAGGGTCTGTTGTTACCTTCTTCTCTGGTGTAAGATACTTTCACACTAATTTCGTTGATGTATCAAGCATTTAGCTAATTTCAACCTAGAGAGCTGGACTGAAAACGGATGGAAGGCTATTTCAACAAGCCGATCTTCGAGACAGCATTTTTAACGAAGTCAACGCTGATCTTACTTCTCGCTGTGAAAATGCCTATGACCTTGCAGCTCGTGAGCAATTTTTCTTCTGTTTTAATATTCCCTAAAATCTAATTTTACCTGAACGTTTGATATCTTACAAGCTCTTTTTGTTTTAAGCAGCTTCATCTCCCTTGCTACTTGCCCAGGAGATTATAGTTCATGATTAGGCAATTACTGACCCGCAAACGCTTCAGTGGTCGCCCTTCATGCAGTCACTATCTTGTTTGAACGAACTTCGCATCCTAACCTGGAAGTCTTTCGAATATTTGAAGAGGCAATCAGTATTCTGGCAAGTCTCCTCGTGAATGACTTTACTCTTCTATCTCTAATTAGGCAATCAGACAGAAAAAATGACAACATCCTTCAAAGATTTCCGTGCACGAGGTTTTCGGGCAAAAGCAGATGATAATGACGACCTTAGGACCAGCTCTATTCGTGCTAAGCATGCACGTGAAGGGAAGATCGCGGAGGAGCAAAATCGTGAAAACACATCCGCTCTTCTGGAACTCAGAGATATCGAAGATGAGCTGAATACTTTAAAGACCCTGTTCAACAGTCAAATGACAGAGATTAGAATCATGTTAGATGTTTACGAGAAGCGAGAGTTGACTAAGAATGGGCTGATATTCTTGAGGAATGCTGAAGAGTATCTTGAGGAATGTACTCAGCATGTAGAAAAAATGACGGAAAACGCAAAGAATACTAGAGATGATGTATGGCTGCTCCCCTTTATCGAAGAACAACCACTGAGACAATACAGTTTGACAAGCTGCTCGGTATGATACAGAGACAAGCACAGGTAGGTGGGATACCGCAGCTATCTGATCAAAGGTACTAATTATTGATACAGGTGGATGAGGTACGTCTGGCAAGATACCAGGCTGATCTTGCCAGTGCGCAGAGCAGATCTGTTATGATATTTACGGTGAGTTTATCTATATATTCGTGATGAGCTGAGTTAATTTGTATTGAAAATAGGTCTTCACAGTTATCTTTGTATGCTATTAACAGTAACATCCATAATCTCTGAACTAACCTCTTGCCATTAGCTGCCATTGAGTTTCTTCACAGGCCTTTTTGGGATGAACGTCCGGTGGGTTCTTCTTTCTCTCTCAACTCCTGCTTTTGCGATATTATAGGCTGACATCACATCAGAGAGTGGGGTGGCAGTGATTACCTTCCTCTTCGCACTGTAGGCTTAATCGCAAGTATGGAAAATTTCCCCCACTTGTTCCAAAAGATAGAATTAACATAATACCACCCCAACAGTCCCGACATCCTCTGCCCTTATAACGCTTGCACTCATCATCGCCTGGAGCATCCGTATTCGTCAGCTCTTTAATTATATTGGGAAAAAGCTTTCGCATATCTACACTAGTATATACGAACATGTCAACAAAGCCATCGACGGAATTCTTGAGACCGAGAAGGACTCTGGAAAGAAAAGCAAGTTGAAAGGACTAAGGCAAAGGAAAAAGAAGAGAAAATCGGAAAAGGAGCAGACGAGACTGCATGATGAAGATTGGGATTTCTGGGAAAGTCATAAAGAGCGTAGGGAGAAGGAGTATAAGATACCGAACAAAAATCGGAGGAATGGGCTCAGTATAGAGAGTAGTATTGAGTGAAAGCGATGATTAATTCATAAATTTTTATCTATATTTTATATGCTATCGTTGTAGACGAAATGATTTATTGAAACAGGAAGTACTCTCATTGCGCGAGTCTTCTAAATAGTCTTTACTAATAGAGTAAGAAACTTGTATTTTCTTGAATTATTCGAGCGATGTCTATTACTCTATTATTATTATTAATATATAAGAATTGAATAATAGATTAAAGATTATTATATAATATTTAACGAAATGAAATATAAAGAAAAGTTTTATTATTTTATTAAATAAATTTTTTATAATAAAAAGATGTTATAAAAAAGTTATAGAAATAATTTTATTAGAAAAAGATATAGAAATTATAGCATGCTAGCTATGCACTAGGGGCATAGCTTACGTAACAGACGTAGCCGATACATTTAAGTAGCTTAGCTTTAGCTTAATAACAACTCAGCTTTTATAACCCAATCCTCTCTATGCCTATTAGAAATAAATTAAGTTTTTTTAATAAGTTTTTCTAATAAGTTTTTCTAATAAGTTTTTCTAATAAGTTTTTCTAATAAGTTTTTCTAATAAGTTTTTCTAATAAGTTTTTCTAATAAGTTTTTCTAATAAGTTTTTTTAATAAGTTTTTCTAATAAGTTTTTCTAATAAGTTTTTCTAATAAGTTTTTTTAATAAGTTTTTCTAATAAGTCTTTCTAATAAGTTTTTCTAATAAGTTTTTTTAATAAGTTTTTCTAATAAGTTTTTCTAATAAGTTTTTCTAATAAGTTTTTCTAATAAGTTTTTTCAATAAGTTTTTCTAATAAGTTTTTTCAATAAGTTTTTTTCAATAAAAGTTTATTTAGATATAATTAATAGTATATTTATTTACTTAATAATAAGAGTATAATAATACTATATCTATTAACTATATATTAATTATTAATTATATATTCAATAAGTAAACTAATATAATAGAATATTAGAGTAATAGTTAATTCGAGTCTATTAGAACATTCAATACTTATATTCTTATTATTCTAATAAAATTCTATCAAATCTTCTTAACTTTATTTCTTTATATTAAAACTCAATTTTATCTAGCTTCGGGCTTAATTATTACTTACCTTGAGTATTTATTCAACGCTAGTAATTCGCTATCATATACTATATCCTCTGATTTATAATATTCCCTACTATATACGAGAATGATTAAAGATAGTAATATATTGAAAAGCTTCTACTTTTGAAGAAACTTACTTTTCAATATAATATTATATAGCCTTGAATTAGATGAGCTCAAGTGTATAAACAAGAGAATTCATTCAAAGGAATTCATTTCAAAGGATTCACTTTAATATAATAGCAATTGTATTAAGGTTATTAGGTGAAAGCGAAGGAGACTAGCTCTTTTAGTAATACCTATATAAAGCCTACTATTTTCCTCATTTAGCTAGCTCTTTAGATTGAATATAAATAGATATTTAGGGGCCTATATATAGTGGGAACCACATCTTCTGTATCTCTCTCAAATCAATACTAATTAGTGATATTACAAATTACTTACTTATTCGAAATACCTTTTCACTTTTACTTCTTTTACTTCCCGTTGTTAGTATTATAATATTCCGGGTAAGCGTTAGTATTAGCTTTAAACAAATCGGTAAGAAATCCGAAATTAATAAAAAACCCGATACTGGCAAGAAACTGGTTCCATTCGATCAATCTACTGGTATAGGAGGATATATCGATATAATAATCGATAGTATTGATTTTCTACAAGAAACTAAGGATTTGGAATTCAAAGAAAAACTTCAGGATTATACTTTTTCAAAGAATCTCAATAAAGTTAGGTAGTTCTATAAAGGATATGTATTCAGGTTGAGAACAAAGTATTATATCGATAAATACTTTCTTTTTAGGAAAACTGTGTATTTGAATATAGGGGTTAAGTCGGGTACCCTACTTTCGGGCCACCCCCCTTTTGGGCCACTTTTTATACCAAAAATACACCAAAAATGGAATTTATAACTTTCTTATTTATGGATAGAATTTAATGAAAATTTGTACATATATAATTTGAATCGATTTAAGCTTATTCTGAAATTTTTAGATTTTTAGGATTTTTCTGTATTGAGAACTAGAGCTTCAAAACATCGATTTTTTAATTTGTATGAGAATTACATACAAATTTAGAAATTTTATAAAATCTTTAATAACTTTTTAACAACAACTATTAAAAGAAAACGATATATATTTTTAAGATATTTAAACTTGAATCTATATAGAAATTCAAAAAAAAATTCAAAAAAATTAACAGATATAGAAATATAGTATACGGTGAGTTTAGAGTCATATAAATAATCCCTGTCATTTTGAGGGTACCTCTATAAATATTTATTTATAATAGATTTTCTATTTTTTCTGAATCTATTAGATTGAATATGCTATAAATTTATAATAAAATTTTACAATTTATTTTTAGCAATTTTTATTAGAAAGTTATTAAAGATTTTCTAGAATTTCTAAATTTGTATGGGATTCCCATAAAAATTAAAAAATCGATGTTTTGAAGCTCTAGTTCTCAATACAGAAAAATCCTAAAAATCTAAAAATTTCAGAATAAGCTTAAATCGATTCAAATTATATATGTACAAATTTTCATTAAATTCTATCCATAAATAAGAAAGTTATAAATTCCATTTTTGGTGTATTTTTGGTATAAAAAGTGGCCCAAAAGGGGGGTGGCCCGAAAGTAGGGTACTCGACTTATTGATATATTTCTTTAAAATACAATTACATCCAATTTCAAATGTGTTTACAAAAATATATTAAGGAATATTGATAAACTAATATTATATAATTTTTGTATAGTCTTGTAATGCTATGGAGTTTATATTGATATCAATATAAATATCGAAAATACTCTTGTGGAAATATTTGCTTATAATAAATATTACGATTAGATTGTAAATCAATTTCTGGAATATTAGTTTATTGAAATATAACTATTTGTATTAATGAAATAAACTCACCTCCTTATCGGACTCAATTTGAAATTATAAGTCGAATCTTTTGAATCTAAAGATGGTGATATAACTAATTAATTAACTTTACTAAAACCTAGCAAAGTTGTATTAATCTTTTCTTTTGATATAATAAAAGAATCAGTTTCATTCTAATCTCCATTTCAATCTGGGGATATATGAAATATATCTTTATTAGATTCTAGGATTTCATTGATCGATACTTCTGCAAGATCATTTAATGATAATGATGGTTCAGATGATAATAATGATAATAGTAATTGGAATGATGGTTGAGATAGTAATGGTAGTAGAGATAATAGAGGTAGTAGTAAAGATAGTAGTAGAGATAATAGTAGAGGTAATGGAAATAGGGATTATTTTGATTATTCCAATTGCTAGGAAAATAATTAATACAATCAGAATCGTTGCTTTATTAATTTCTTTAAGATTTATAGAGATAATAATAAATATAAGGGTATTGATGATTCTTTTGATTAATACAAATAAGATTGATATCAAGGTAATGAAGTGGATAGAATGGGATTAAGGGAAGGAAGGGATTGGTTTTGCTAGTAAGAGGTTAGGGATTTTAATTGGTAGATAAAGGATATTTATGATTTCACGAATTTCTTTTTAGTTATTATATTTGAAGCTATAAAAGAGAATTCCGAATATATAAACAAGAGAATTCATTCAAAGGAATTTATTTCAAAGGATTCATTTCAATACAATAGCAATTGTATTAAGATTATTAGATAAAAGCAAAGGAGACTAGCTTTTTTAATAATGCCTATATAAGGTCTACTATTTCCCTTATTTAGCTAGCTCCTTAGATTGAATACAAATAGACATTTAGGGGCCTATATATAGTGGGAATCACGTCTTCTGTATCTCTCTCAAACCAACATCAAGTGTATAATAAACAATTTCTTAAACTAGTTAAATAGCTAGATTTTAGCTATTTTAAGCTAGGTTTCATAGCAAGACGGAGGACAGATTCTATAACTTTACAATAACTTTTTCTTAGAGTTTTTTTAAAATACAAACAAAGAATTGCGTTCTAGTTGTCATAAGCTAGAGTCCGAGGGATGAAAGAGTGAAACCGTGGAACCGTCTTCAAATTTTGAGGTGAGAGTAACTCGCCGTATAATAATATATTAGTATACATTCAACCTTCAGACTATTTTTCATGCGAATGTCTAAATAAAAGTACTGAGCTTGGAATATTATATTTCAAAGCTATATGATCATAATTAAAAAAGAAATTTTGTGAAAAGTTGAAAGCGTTTTAATCAATTTGCAGTCTTTGATCGTCCTTGTCTGTATCTCCACGAAGAAAGACGATATCTTAATCCTCATCAGCGTACTCATAGTACATTCCACCTTCCGGAATCGCAATATACGCGCTTCTTTCCCAATCTTCCAAATTGGAGAAGTAGTGACTACATGCTTCATTAACACATACACAAGCTTCATCCTGAACATTGATAAATCTTCCACATCGACAGAACGGGTTCATCATATCATTTTCCAGTAGGGGCAGTGATACAAATCCAAGCGGGATGCCATCTAAGAGGGAACGCATGTCGAAATTACTTGATAGCCAGCTATCCCCCTCTTCCAGTCGGCGGTAAGTTAGTAATTCGGTTTGTACAGCTGCCCACAGTTTTCCTACAACATCGCTTCGTCCATAGAAGTTATTGTTCGGTTCGTCGTGGTCGCATACTGGAGAATGTGTTTCCGTCTCCGCTTCATTTTCATCTCTATCCCCACTTCGTTCATTCATGTCGACGTCACTATCACTGCCATACTCTAGAAAAGCCGAGAAATCGTCGCCGCGATTCATAGGGTTCAAACTTGAACGCGTTGTGACTTCGCTGGATCTTCTTTCATTCCCAGCGTAGCGTAAAACACTGCAAAAGACGCTCCATCCCAATCTTGCATCGGAAGTCCATGATGACATAAGTGTGCTGGGGATCTTATCCGCAATATCAATTGGCTCAAGAAGTTCATGGCTGCATTCATCTGCGTTATCTTGACCTCTAAGCGCTTTCATCGAGATAGCTGCCCGATCAAGAGGATTTGCACCATTTGCTAAAAAACACACCAGAACTGCAAGTATACCAAAAAGATTCTCGTCTTCGCACCCACTTTGTGCAAGATGAAAAGCTACCAGAACAAGTGAGTGGAGGGGTAATAGCTGGAGTTTGTGTCCACACTTTTGACAGTGTTTCATAAAAAGCCCGCTTGGTGTACCAATTTTAGGGGCGTATGATGGTCCAAAAATACGGCCGATGCAGTGACAAATGGTTTGGACGGAGGTATGACAGAACATGTGCTTCCAACCGATTGGGATGGAAGCATTCCCTTCAGCTAAGTGAGAGCGGACGCACGGTGAATCGGCATCCCATCTCCCACAAATGTCAACTTCTTCTCCCGACCAATGATTCAAGTCTTTGAAAGAATCGTCCACAGTGACTGGTGGGCAAGACGTATGTGATTTCAGGATTGCCATCATGAGATTATCCAAGACTGTGTGGCCACGATCGTTGATAAAGAGCTTGCGTACAGAGTTGCAAATGCCCATCTGATTCACCAATGCGTCGAGAATAATGCAACATGTCTTAGACCCATCTAAAAAGCTGGTCGCTAGATGTAAAGGGTATAAATTACTATTCTGTATTACTGTAGTTTCGATTCTGGGCAAAATCTTCCAAAAGAGCTTCGGATTCCTGGTCATGATGGCGAAACCAAAACACTCCATCAATAAAGCAGAAGATGAAGTTTTCGCAGCTTCTGTCAATGATGTGGTAGTGATAGGCAGATCAGAGGCGCAAATATTACTGAAGAGATTATTTTTCAACGCAGCTTTCAGCTTTCTCGCAAAGTTGGTGGGATTGCGATTGGCTTGCCATCTCTTCCAAGTATCAGGGTCACGGGTATCCAAATCTCCATTCTCCCAGTCTTCACTTTCTGGCTCTCCACTCTCCGAGTCTTCGCTGTCGCTCAAGCCCTCTGAGTAGACAGAACCAGGACTCGATATTCCTGAGTAATAGACACCGATGTTTGCATGAATGGCCCACCGGCATAATTGAGCTGGATGGCGGTTTGAATCCGATGATTCACCAATGACATCAATAGCAGCGCTACTCCTAGGGGTTGCTGGTATCTCTCCATTGAAGTTTGGCGTATTTGACAAGGATGGTGATACTTTATCTCGATAGCGATCAAATTCGAGAATATCTGACGTCCAGTTTCTTGGCCCAACGCCCCAATACTTGGCTGTCTTGAAGGAGAATAGCCAAAATTGATAAAGCCATGTTGTTAGTGTCCTAAGATAATGTTAGATAAAGCTACTATTTATGTGGGCCATATGTAGCCTGTTGCAATATGTGCCTTACATGTTCTCTCGTTTGCCCATACGCTGTAAAAGCTTTTCGTGATCACCACCAAGAAAAAGATCCGTTCTTTCGCGCTGAAATTTTCCTCTTAATACAAGCACAGTAGGAGATGGCGCATCTGACAGAGATGGGCCGTTAATAAAAGGACTGCCTCCGATCCTGTTGGCACTTGGACTGACTACAGAGATGTCACTTGGCGTCGAGTCTGTTGTCCAGTATGGGGATCGATGATTGGCTGCTGCAGATGTTGACGACGAGAATGCACGATATGGTAAGTTCCAACGTATGAAACTAGCAACAGTATCAGTAATCAATGATTAATGTAGTAAACGTGTTTAAATATTACGTATTTCCGCCTGAGTATAGTACTGCCATGTTTTTATTGTGTGTCCTCTCTAGCTCAACTATGTGTCGACGAAGTCGCTTCTTGTCTATCTCACCTCCTTTGTATTTAATAACAGTAGTAGATGTGCTATCATCCCGGACGCGTTTTCCGAGGGCAGTGACGGCAGCTTCCTTTTTTTCTTTAGGGACGGACTTTGTCAAGTTCCATTTCTTCAGATAGTACTTGTACTGGTGTTCACTGTGAATACATAGTCAGTATGAAGTGCCTAGCCCATTCATGGTGAGTAGTCTTCACTTACAGAGCCGAGAATTTGTAATCTTCTTTCATTATTCTAGCAACGTCTGTTACGTTACGATTGTTATCGACGTATAAGGAACGTATTGTGGGCTGAAATAGATCCCATCTTTTGGCATAAGGAACGCTAAGGAAGTAAGGGTCGAGTTCTTGCGATATGCTCGAAGCCATGAGTAAGAGAAAATGATGTGTTCAATACAGATCCTTAAGACTATTATCAAATATGCGAGGGGAAATTGTCTGTTTATATAGAGAACTCACAAGGCTGAATGCTACCATATCAATGCTCGAAAGGATGAAGTACATGAGAAAGTTTCGCTAGTCATTAAAAAAGCATGTGGAAGCTTGCTTAGGTATTGCCAGTGGCGTCTTTAGCTAGCCGATGGTGGGAGCACCACGTCTGCCGACTGTGCATTCGGTGAGTGGGCGGGTAATAGAACAATAAAGCAATGGCCAATGGGAATCTATCAGAACGTTACATACTCACACCCACTTATGAACAGCCTCAGGGGCATTGATATGCATACTATCTGACACAGCGTGAACAAAAGGACAATGGCCAATGATCATTATGCAAACACAGCTCGCATAAGCAGCTTCCAATGCGTCATCTGACAAGGGTGAGCAGAACTTTTGAGCAAGGATTCTTTTAACCGAAAACAAAAGTAGAACAGCGAATTATAGTCATTTCCAGACGACCAGCATTTACTTCAGACAAAAGAACACAACCCAACCAGGAAGAAGATAATCACTAGCGGCTGCTGATAATGTCACAGCTCATGAACATAGGAAGAGTACCCAATGAAAAACTACAACAAAATTTCAAGAATTCAATGCTTTTGCTGTGATTCGAATGTGACCTTCCTCGGAAATTGTAAACTAGATCATCATCGATTAAAAGTGCCAAGATATGGATTGATCTCCTAGGTAGGTCAGAAACGTAGAGATTCTGGAAATTCTTGGGGTGTTCGCCCGAACATATTATTGGCTGAAGCCACAACAAACAGGATCATAACACTGAACAGGTGAAGAATTTGAGGGATTAGGCAATGTATACTCTGACCCGAGTAGCACAGATCCTATAGGTTGTAGTTTAGACTGCATGAGAGCAATAGATCTGGAACATCTACGTCAAATGTCAGTTTTGAGGCTTGCCAGATATGTTGTCTTTTCTCAAAAGAGTGGAATACGGGTGCGTTATGCTCCGAGACTATCACGCCCGAACACAACTACCAAGTATTGTATATAGCTGTCCCCTCCACTCCTATATCTACACATCTTTACCGTTCTTCGATCTCTTCTTCTTTCCCAATTCAAATCCAAAGACCTTGGTTGCGACTTGCACTAGGTAGTTATAGGACAATGGCTCCCGTGAAGATTAAAGGGCAAGGCGAGGCCCGAGAAAGGTATGCTACCTGATTCTTGGTATTCTTCTGATTATTGTGTTGAGATAGCGGTTTTAACAGTCTTCATGTAGGCCTGAACATACTTCAAGGGATTATTTCTCGAGAGCCACTACCGAACCTCATATATCTTCTGACAGTGTGGTGGTCGAACCTGCGACGTTATCACAAGACCAGCTTTCGTTCACGAATGCCTCCATATCTGGCGAGCGTGTACACCCTTCCTCATATCAGAGTTCTCACCACTTGATTCATCAATGCTCTCAGGATAGGCAGCATGATCTCCAAGGGATCGGTGCGCAATTTGGGACGTCTTTGGACGATTTCCGCCAGACACTTTCGGCGGATATCCCACCATTTCTAGACCTCACAAGCTATTGTCCATATCACTCTCAGCTACTGCTATCTGATTTGCAAGGCGAGGGTACTTCTGCATTAAAACAAGCAAAGGATGCAGCCACCTACCAATCAGATGATTGATGCCATGTGACGAAACGAGGTTGTTGGTGCAAGCATAGTAGGGGGAATATCAGCTGCTGAAAGGACCATCCGCTGTGGGCCATGGTATTAGTGGCACACAACGAAGAAGACAGGAGCTGTTCCAACGGGGTTCATGGAAGAGGTCTTTTGGCAGTATGGAAATTGGGGGCAGGGAATCTATGCTTTCGTAATCCAAATAATATGGCCAATGGTCATTGAGGCCAAGGTTATGGAAGAGGACAAGATGGTAGCAACCACTGAAAGGATATCATGAGGTGTAGAGGAGCCTGCATAAAAAGGATGGGAACTGCCCAAGTTCGGGCAAAATGACAAAGAATTTCACATGTTTCACACCAAGCGACGAAGAAGGTTAATATTCTTGACGTAATTTCATATTTGCCCATTGCTCGCTATTAATTATAGCTGTGTTCCGACCGTAGTCAAGCAGAAGGTTGGTATCTCAGGCATATGTGCCATAATATCCCATGCAAATATGTGAACCATCCATCCTTGATAACCAGTATGATACAGCGTAAATGTATCCGAGTAATTTACTTAAGAGGAATGAAACGGGAAGAGTGGGTAGCACCGATACCGGGTCTTCCGTGCTTGACTGGGCGGCTGTTTTGGAGTTAGTATGAGCTTCCATTGCGAATAACTTCAAGCTTTCGCACAGAACATAATAGGAAATAACTTACTAAGAGATAGAGAATTCGGCCAAGTAGTGACCAACCATCTCAGGCTTGATTTCGACTTGGTTGAACTCCTTTCCGGAGTAGATACCGATAACGCTGCCAATCATCTCTGGGACGACGATCATGTCTCTCAAGTGAGTCTTGACCAAATCTGGCTTCTCGTTTGGCTGAGCCTCTTGCTTGGCCTTGCGCAGCTTCTTGATGAGACCCATAGGCTTGCGCTTCAAACCACGGTTGAACCTACGGCGAGCACGAGCGTGGACGACATCGCGGAGTTGGTCGGAGGAAAGGTCGAGGAGTCTATTCGAAGAATATAGGGTTAGCTACTATGAGATCCCCTTTGATATTCATGTTGTGGATTTGTTAAGGTAGGCATACTGGTCGAGGTCGATTCCACGGTAGGAAAACTTGCGGAATGCTCTCTTTGCCTTGATCTCGGCAGCCTTTTGGGCATCCTATTAAATTGGAAAAATTGGTTAGCCTCCCATTTCATTCCAAGCTGCCTCCATAATTTCCAAAGAAATTGGCTTCAGAAATCCAAAACAAAAATAATCAATTGCTCACATATTCTTCGTCGGCCATCTTTGCGGTTGGGTTCTTTCAAAGGTTGTCGAAAGGATGGAGTTGTCGTAAAGGAGTTGTTCGCCGCCAAACTGAGTCCAAGTGCCAGAAAGTTTGCAAATTTTGGTCTCGCTTAGATTTCGGCGCTAAAATAGGGCAAATATCCCAGATGACCTCTCAGCCTCGTGCTTTTCCCCATGCAAATATCGATGCCGTATCAAATCAAGGATAACAAGGGTGTTTGGAGGGGTGTCAGATAGTAGATAAAAGGATTATGAGTGGCCTTGATTGGCATCTGAATTTTATGTAGAGGATAATATGGGGTTCAGTACGGCTTCCAGATAACCTTGATTTCACAAGTGAAGGTTTTCCAGCAGTATTTGTTGGCAAGCATTTAACTACAGATGTTCTACGAGATTATTCGCATTTGCACATCACATCGCATCAATTCACAACATATCACACCATATAAATATTTGTCCTGCTAAAATGCTGCTGATGTTTGAAGAATCACGTCTTTATTGCTCTATTTTGCATGAATATATGCTTGTCATGGGAATCTTCGCGAGATACAATCCATCCCATATGGCGTGCAAATAATGGGCGAAGCCCGCACGATTTCTCCCAGAAATCTCGAAATGATGTTCCGGTAGGTCGAGAGCGTCGAGTCCGTGGGGAAGTCAGTTGACTGCTTAATCGAAAAGACCGAAACCCATGTCCTCGTCGGACTCTTCCTTCTCTATTTATTGGGTTAGTAGGCTTTCTATTAATGAGAATATAGCACAACATACCCTCAGCCTTCTCCTCAACCTTCTCCTCAGCAGCGGCACCACCGGAAGCGGCAGCTCCACCAGCAGCTGGGGCAGCACCGGCACCACCAGATGGGACGGATGCCAACTTGGAGGAACCCTCAGCGATCAACTAAATTTCACGTCAGATATTTGTACATGTGCGCATTTTCGATTGTGCTGACCTCGTTGATGTCCTTTCCGTCAAGCTCCTTGATGAGAGTATCGAGACGCTCTTGGTCGATCTCAATTCCAACGGACTCGAGAACGGTGGTGATGTCCTTAGCGGAAGGGGAAGCCTTTCCACCGATGGTGAGGAGGAGGTATGCAGCGAGATACTTCATTTTGAATGCTGTGCACAAATCTTGTCAGTTTACAATTTCAAAGATGATCTTGGTGCGCAAAACAATGCAGCGAAGTATTCAGCGTGAGGAGGATCTTACATTTATTTGTTTCGTTAAAGAACAGGTATATCAATCGATTTAACCGCAAGAGACGGAGACTGAAATTTCAAGTTCTGAGAGTTTTGAAGTTTGTGAAAGACACGATTGTGGATCTCAGATTCGATTAAAATCAAAAAGTTTCTTGTGTGGGCGAATGGCGTGACGCTAAGCTACTCCTGTCAAGTCAGACACGTGATAACGAAATGGACTTAAATCCTTGCGATTGTCTGCCCGTTTGCTTTTCACATTGCCTCAACAACAACTCAAAGGAATAAGACAGATACCACAATTTTATCTGAAGGCGCAGTTATTTGTTATCTGGCGCTTTCAAATTTTATTCCTGCTGCTAGCACCACACTTATCAATTTTCATGTGCTGATGCACTACAAGAAGTCGGAAATCCACGCGATCTGCGTTTGAGTTGTTCATCCATCATCTTCTGATTCATTCTTTCAAATTTTCGGTGTATCACAAGCATATCATTCAAGATGCCGGTACGTCTGCTTTGCGCATCTGTTCACACTCTAGATAATCATTATACTGACTTAATCAAGATCGGTGATCTTCTCGCCCAGATTTCGGGGGGCCCAAGTCCAGATTCAACAATGACGATGCCGACCGCCACTCTTCCGCCAAAGCGGAAAGCAAACGATGACTTGAGAAAGCCGGTTGACAAACTTCAAAGGCCAAACACTGCTACTATATCGAGACCAATGACCCAAGCGCATCGTCCTACAGCTGTTGATACGAGTATGGGCAGGATGAAGATCGACACGAAACAACAAAGACCAACTCCGAGCTCGGCTAATACCGCCAACACCACTTTCAAAAACGGCCAGCCAACACCACCTCCATCGTCCACCGAATCAACAAAACCTCCCAAGAAAGGTTCATATGCGGAGATTTTGGCACGGGGAAAAGCTGCACAGGCTTCTTTGGGTCAGGTTGGAAAGATTCAACACAAACGCATCGAGAAAGCACCATCAAAGCGAGAGTCGGATAAACTAAGGACTCAAAAGGGGAAAACCATTCAAAAGGGACTAGAACCAAATTCCAAATTTCAAAGACCTGGCCAGGTTCCCGCTCGGAATGGACAGAGTGGCACGAATGGTACGAAGTCTGTTGGTGCCAAGGCTCCGCCACCAGCTGTTGAAAAGAAAGTCAAAAAAGCTGCAACAGCAACGACTGGATACACCGGGACTGCTCGCCCAAGGCCAGGAGGTGGTGGTCCAACTGCTAACAAGCCAAGTGCACCTTCATATTCCGCTCGTAGTGGCAACGACCGATATAAAAATGGTAGAAAGAACCTCGATCGCTACTATGCTACTGATGAGGATGAGGATGAAGATGACATGGAGGGTGAAGTCGAGGAGGATGACTATGCATCTGATGTATCTTCTGATATGGAAGCAGCCACGTTCGAAGTCGATGAAGAAGAAGAAAAGGCCGCTGCTATTGCCAGGAAGGAGGATGCTGAAGCTCTTGCCGAAGAGAACAGACTCAAGAAGGAGAAAGCTGAAAAGCGAGCACGACTTGCAGCTATGGCCAAGTCCAGAAGATGATGAATCGGTTAAGGGTATTGGCTATGGTTCTTAGGGATTTCTACGGGTGGGAACTTTTTCAGGAATGCTATGGATGGATGCATTGTTTGAGTTTAGCGATTTGGAGTTTTGGGATGGGAAGACGAGATATACAGGCATTGCAGGCGTAACATATTTGGAAGCTGCTTTGCTGCTTTTCCACTTCGGTGGTAGTCCTACTTTCTATGCTTTGCAGCGCATTATGGTTACTAGAGGATCCTATTATAATGAAAGGCACCAATGGCGTGTACATGATTGTTTACTCTAATTCATCAAAATTCACGATTATCTTTGGTCGACCGAGCTTGAAATATGTGGTGGCATTCAAATATTAAGATGTCAAGTTGTCACTGCCAACTCAATCCATCTTTCCACTTAGCCACACATACACGCAAAGGTGTGGTGCCATCAAATTCAGTGTCAGTCAACACCCATACTTCAATATCTTACTACTATCTCTTCTACATGTTATCCTCATTGTTTGGTACCTAAATATGTACTCGTCCCAACGTTGACGTTCTACGCAGATGTCCAGATTTATACTCTTCTATTTCGAAGGATGTCGAGGTCCAACAAGCACAAAGAAGACACGTCTCTCAATGACAAGATACACACACATGTTCATCGTGATATAAAAGACGAGTCATAAAAACAAACTAAATTGGTATCACAATCTCCCTCCATCTCTCTCAAAACTTTGTCACTTAAAATCCACCATGTCCTCCCCGTCCACCACCACCGTGTCCACCTCTCTCGCCTCCAAATCCTCCTCCGCCATGGTGTTCACCACCTGGCCCGCCAAATCCACCTCCCTGATGTCCGCCTGGTCCACCGAATCCTCCTCCTTGGTGTCCGCCTTGGTGCTCCCCTCCGAATCCGCCTCCTTGATGTCCACCTGGTCCACCGAATCCTCCTCCTTGGTGTCCGCCTTGGTGCTCCCCTCCAAATCCGCCTCCACCTTGGTGTCCACCTGGTCCGCCAAATCCACCTCCTTGATGTCCGCCGCCGTAATGTTCACCACTGGGTCCTCCGTATCCTCCTTGTGGACCACCTGGTCCGCCGTATCCGCCTTGGGGTCCTCCGTTACCGCCCATGTGGTGTTGCTGAGGAGGGGGAGCTTGGTTCTATTCGTATGTTAGCATTTACATCCGGGAGTACTCAGTACTGTTGTGGGGAGAGGGGTAACGAACATGCTCGTGCTCGTGCTTTCCCTCGACCTTGTGGATGACTTTGCTGATGAGTCCCATTGTGATTTTTGTATCTATGTATATGTATAATTGAGAGATATGTATAAAATTTGTTATTGTATAGGCAGATAGTTGAAGATGGGGAATTGAGTTTATATTTGAATAAGTCAGAAGAACTAGCAAGAGGAGGTATATACTACTATATATACCTACATACCATCCATTCCTCCGCTCATCCAACCCACTTTAATATCCCGACCTCAGTCTACATACCAAAATTCATCATCCATACCTTGGACCAACTTCTCAAATTCCTGCTTTGGCTGCTTGTTACGCATGCATACGAGTACACATCGCTTCATTTCCATCTACCCTGATTGCACCTATGCAGCCGCGACCAAAAAGCTTAAAAGGAAGAATAGATGCGCAGCCCAAGACCCCTCAATTCCCATCCCTTTCCAGATCCTGCCATTCGGCAACCGGTGCCGTAGAAGCCCCTCCCCTCATCCCCGTATACTTCTCTCGTCTGCCACCCAAACACGGCTTCCCTGACTAATAAATACGTATTGTACAGCCACAGAGAGTTAAGCCTCATGACACGATTGTGTTGTGGTTAGAGTCGTGGTGTGTAAGTGTCTTGGCGGTGGGGATAACGCGCGGCCGAATATTCTGTCGAGCTCTGGAATCCTCCGCGCGCAACAGCGAGTAGGAACCGAGGATCCGACATGGAATGGGATAGGGGAACGTCATTGTCACGTTTATGGATGATGGAAAATGTTACGTCATGCATTGAGTGTTGCCTTTTGCGTCAGACGATCAGATTGACGAAAAATTACGCTTTGACTTTACGAAGTATAGATGTACCTATGTAGACAGGTATATGTGTAAAGAAGACGAAGTGATGGATTGAATTCGAAATCCCAAATATAAATATGTTGCGGTTGAATATCGGTGGAGCGAAGAAGTGGAACAGATGAGCGAGGTTTCCAGCTGAGGCAATGCACGGGACGGGAACATCCATGAGTTGGAGCTTCGTCTGGCGAGACTCAAAGGTTCATTTAAGAGGGGGTCAAAAAAGCTATGCGAGTGTATGTATTAATAGAAGCATCCATTGCGCTTGATATACGCAGATATGAATTTAGTATTACATATTAAATCCTCAACTCGTGCCCGAACGGCAATCCATTCCTACTATACATGTACCATAAATGCCGACTGTGTTTCTGGCCGTACAACTGTTCATAATTGCATTCAGTACCCCAAAAGGGCTTGTGTTTCAAAGATGCTTTTCCCCGTTGATAGCTGTTTCCCAATACGCCAACGGCCCCAAAACTCCACGATACTTGAAAGCATATCGTATTCCGATACTCTCGGTTTTTGTAACTTGTGAAAAATTGGCTTTTAGTCTGGTGGTGGTGCCGCATTCATGATTTTAGCCAACATGTCGATGTGTGAGATGAGATTGCCGTTGAATCCTTCTTCCCGTTTTGGCGTCCCTTCTGTATGCCAACAAGAACCCCATGTATCCTCATCCAACCTCCCCTCGAAATATGCAATTCGCATTGGCCAGTCCATCTTTGGCCACCACTCTTCCGGCAATAAACTAAAGATTCCTGTCACTTCTCTTTTTGCAACACCTTGGAGCCACCAGATATCATCAACAATACGTGTCATAGCAAAAAAACATGACACAATAACCAAAGCACGAGGATCCTGTCTCTTTAGTAGATCAATGTAACGACGTGTTACGGTAGCCGCAAAACTGAGAATTCGAGCTCGCTCTGGTTTTTGATGAGACCAGTTGAGCATAGCAACAGCATGTTCATATGCCTGCTTTGTATCTGCATCTATGGAGGCATCGTCCGAGTTCGATACATGGTCAATACCTTCGAGCAAAAAAGCAAAGAACCCTCGGCGCTCAGGATCAAAATCTAGTATTAATGGAGGCTGCCCATTGATGATCGGAAAGATTTTAGCAGAATTTCGTAACCAATGCCAGGAAGTAATAACGATTGTCTTAACTCCCTGGAAAGAATGGAACCAAGCGAGTGGTAGGACGTAACCACTGTCAGAATCCCCATCGATTCCATTCTCGACACAACGGGATGCCGATGCTTGGAAAGCGATGAGAGCAGCTGTACAGAAAAGCGCTTCTGCATTGCTTTGAGATGGGCCCTGGCTCAAAAGAGAAGAATATTGAGCAAGCGCTGATGCCATATAACTATGTGATGCACGTGCAAGACTTCGATCGTCAGGCTGTAATATGCGTAAGTGTAGAGCAGAAACGGCAAGGATGGCATCCATTAGATATGGGGAGTCATAAGCGAGTGATGGTACGTTCACAGACCAGGCAACGTCCTGACTCTCATCATTAGAAAGAGTTTTCGAAGTCGTTGCAGTATAATGATGCATTAGCCTGAGCTCAAGTGATCGATCATGCATTGAGTTACCGTGAGCTCTGACTGTCATTGAAGGAGACCGGTAGAAGGGTATTATCGAAGAAGTGGTAGACGCCGGTGATGAGGCTTGGTTGACCGAGCCTTCGGAACTTTGATGGGCAAGCGTTGGAGGTTGGAAAGCTGGTGAATCAGGTGATGAGGGCATATCTCCAAAATCACAGGAAACGCCTGATTGGCCATTGTCAACATATACTCTACTCTTCAGTGAAGATATACGGACCATGCTTTTTACAATTTCCACACAAAGGATGTTTTTCGTCACACTAATTCCAAATTAGCACGTGCTCATGACCATCTCTGGATCCCAATAATAAGTAAGGTTGATTACTTTGATTTTCCTGTGCTTGCATCTCTGACAGCCGGCTTTAGATTTCTTATGCGATCTTCTTGGAGGCATCTTGTGTTTTTGCTTGTTGAAAGACTAATACGGAAGTTGTAAGCTATCAGGGGTGGCGACCAGATTGACTATTTCGACAAATGTTCATATTGACAAGGGATGGTCTTGGTTCAATTCATTCAGTGGAAATATGTGCGAATCTTTGTTTGGTGGGTGTTGGAGAGATACTGGTCAAAAGTAAGTGATTGATAGATACCTGTGGAAATTTCATCCCCGATTTGCAACGATTGTTTACCATCGAGCGCACCAGCGTTGTTTAATAAGTGCTTGAGTATCGGGGCTTCGGAACATCGAGAATTGAGGGTACCCCTGCGGCATCTGGCTTGTTCGATCATTTGTTCGCGATCTCATTGGTTCCTGATGGAGGTAAGTTAGTCAGCATCTCAGCCTCCTCCTGGATAGAAAAGTTCCGACAATTTTTGTTGCTGAGATGAAAGTAACACGTGAGTCAGTGCCGGTTGGTGTGGGATTATCGAGAATCAGTCTAGTGTTTATTGAATTTATTCATACGATCTATCATCTTTTGACATCATGTGACCATGGTCGAGCGATAAAACCGCACCTTGATGGCATTTCCCATTGAGCCATTCTATTCTCTCCAGCTACCTGCTCTGTATAATCATCTCCTCACGACTTTTAATCCGTCACGTTACTTGTTAACCTTACTTCCTATCGACAACGCATTTTTATATCTTCAAACTCAACATCAGCACAATAGAATATAACATTCAGATCTTATGTTTGCCTACTCGAGCATTCTCGTTCGACTACGTAATAACCTCAGCGACCTCCCTAATTGGGTCTCCAATGACCTAAAAGGTGTGTGTGTACATTGGTTACAACACAACGAAAAAGATTGATAATAGCTAGCGGCTCTATACGAATGGTGGAAGTACAACATCGATTTGTCATGATGTCTTCATATGATACACATCCTTTTCACTCTCGAGCCTGCACATAAGCAGCCAAAGACCAACTTTCCTCCTGCCTTTTCTGACCTCAATATCTCCTTGTGAACATTCCTTCTTCTCATCTAGATGAATTGCGTGCTTTAGCCTCTGACTCAATACCGACCAAGGAAATAAGTATATATATCTCTACATTTACCCCCTTTGTTCCTTACAAATTAAGGTTTAGCTCTCGTCACGACATTCATCCTTCTTACATTATTACCAATTTGATCCATCTACCAAGACTCACTTACATATTTTCTTCGTCGACCCTTCTACCGAGTACTTCCTAGTACACTAAAAGGAAAAACTATTTAACTAGATCTTCCCCGCAATTTTTACTTACTATATTTTCCATTCAATCTAATTTCTACTCATCAAACTTCTTTCCGTCTTTCGTTGCATAAAATTATTTGGAAAAAAGGAAAAAAAGGAAAGGAAAAAAGGCGAAAGAGCTCATCACCCCGCACTACCCCTCCAAAATGACTGTTCCAAACTTCGATCACCCCATTGAAACTCCTCCACGAGCCCCTTCTCCAGTTCATCGATTTGGTACTCTAGCAGTCCATGCTGGTTCCCCCCACGATCCTGTCACCGGTGCTGTCATCGAAGCCATCTCCCTCTCCACAACCTTCGCACAAACCGCCGTCGGAAAACCTGTGGGCGCATACGAATACAGCAGAAGCTCCAACCCCAATCGTGACAACTTCGAAAAGGCTGTCGCAGCTCTCGAACACGCAAAATATGCTCTAGCTTTCTCTTCTGGCTCTGCTACAACTGCCACCATTTTGCAGTCTTTAGCTGCCGGCTCGCATGTCATTTCGGTTTCGGACGTTTATGGTGGAACCCACAGATATTTCACACAGGTTGCTAAAGCGCATGGCGTGAAGGTTACATTTACACCAGAGATTGAGGTCGATGTCGTGGATCATATCACACCCGAGACAAAACTCATTTGGATTGAAACTCCTAGCAACCCAACTCTGCGACTTGTGGACATCAGAGCCGTAGCTACAGCAGCACACGAACATGGCATAATGGTTGTTGTTGATAACACCTTCATGAGTCCATATGTCCAACAACCATTGGACCACGGAGCTGATATTGTTGTTCACTCTGTTACTAAATACATCAATGGTCACTCTGATGTAGTGATGGGAGTAGCTGCTTTCAACTCCGACGCTATGAAGGAAAGATTGGGATTCTTGCAAAATGCCATTGGTTGCATCCCTTCAGCATTCGACAGTTGGCTTGCTCACCGTGGCTTGAAGACATTGCATCTCCGAGCCAGAGAAGCTACAGTTAACGCAACAATAGTAGCAAAGGCATTGGAGGCTTCACCACACGTCATTGCCGTCAACTATCCTGGTTTGGACTCCCACCCACACCGAAAAATTGCTCTTAAGCAACACAGAGATGGCATGGGAGGTGGTATGCTTTCTTTCCGTATCAAAGGAGGTTCCGCTGCAGCAGAAAAGTTTTGCCAAATGACTAGCATCTTCACATTGGCCGAGAGTCTGGGAGGAGTCGAGAGTTTGGTTGAAGTTCCTAGCAGCATGACCCATGCCGGTATTCCCAAAGCTCACCGAGAGGCCATTGGTGTGTACGACGATTTAGTCCGTATCAGTTGCGGAGTTGAAGATGCAGAGGATCTGAAATCGGATGTTTTGCAAGCCTTGGAGAAAGCTGTTGTCTGGCCTAAAATCTCTAACGGTCTACAAAACCATGCTTCTTAAGTCCCGGATTGGGGCGTGGATATTATTCTTGTTAAAAGAGCCGCACGCAAATGGATTTGCGAATGCGTGGGCGCTGGCGTTGGGGCATGGTTCGAATACCTCTTATCTCTCGAAATGCTACATCTAGGTGATAAAACAAATTTACATAGATTTCTTTGCATGATTTAGTCTTGTGGGTTTCCTTTTCAAGGCTTGGAAATTAGACAAAAATTAAATTTTTAACACAATATTGGTTACCACCATCAGACAGATACTACGTGAACATGTGCAAATGCTTCAGCAGATATGACATCTCGCGACTTAAATACCCAGGACAAACTTGACCCCTTTACTGACATCATCCAAAAATTCATCTCCACCCTTGATACCGGGGAAAAGCCAAAAATAATGCGGCACCCCCTCATAATAATTACTCTTTGTCTTGATACCCTTATCCTTCAACATCATTTCCAACACCTTACCATCATCCCGCAAAGGATCTTTTCCACACGTCGCGATATAAGTCGGAGGAAATTCCTCCAAATGTTTCGAGAGCGTCACAACTAAACCCATACAGAATATATATTAGTCCATCTCCTCAAATCAAAAATATCAAACAATAACAACTCAAATACATACACACTCTCGGATCCTGCGGATCCGCCCCCACAGCCCCAAAAAACGTATTCATCGTATCCGCATCAATAATCGGTACGCCGTGCGCATTCTCATCGTAGGATTGATAGTGATTTTTGTACGACGCGGGGATCGAAGATGGGTGTGCGGCGACGGGGACCATGGCCACGATACCTTTGATTTGCGATCGCTTACCCGCGGCGATGAGATCGTGAGCGACGGTTAGAGCCAGACCGCCGCCGGCGGAGCCGCCGATGGTGAAGAGTTGGGAGGCGGAGGCGTGGAGCTCCGAGGCGTGGGTGTAGGCCTGCAGTGGGGTGTGAGTTGTTGGGGAATGGGGGGAAGAGCGGGGAATTGTGGAGAGATGAAGAGGAGAGGAGAGATGAAGATGGAGATGGAGAATTGGAAATAGAGAAATTATATACATACCCATTCAAAAGCCTTGACGCTATCATCCAACATCACCGGAACCTTATGTTTCGGGCCCAATCTATACTCGACACTTACAATCACACAAGGAACACTCTTTGCGATAAATCGACACCACACATCCTCCGAATCGAGGTCTCCAACGCAATATCCACCTCCGTGAAAATACACTCCCAGAGGAAGTTCGCCACTCTGGGAGGCATTTGAAGAAGGCGTGTATATACGAACCGGAACTCCGTCTGCGGAAGCATCACGAGTTTGAACCGAGGTGTCGGGAGGGGGTCTTTGAGCATTCAGCGCTGCGACTAGGCCGTTGAATTGCTCTTCAATGTTGGCTGAATCGCCTACGAGAAGGGGACGGGTGCCGAGAGCTTTTTCAAGCTGCGAGGATCGAAGTTAAATATGTAGTTTGAGGGGGAAGGGGGCGTGTCGCAAGGAGCTTGTCATGATAAATAGGAAGGGATATTTACCTCGAGCCATTCGGGCTTGTAATCTGCACTGGATGAATCTCCCATTGTATAGCTTATCTTTTTAGTTTGAAAGTTTGAAGCGTGGATAGGAATAAGAATTTACAGGTTTGGGGAGGGTCTAGGGTTTCAATCGAATACCTGAAGGATGCCAAAACACACATAAAGGATATAGCACAATATATACCTGCGGAATTTCGAGATTACAAATACTCGAATTCAACGACGGGATGAAGGGAATCTAGTAGCCTTAGTTACCCTGCCATGCAACTCTCCAGCGTGCCACATCCTGCAGGCGCCAATTTGAGAAGAAGCTGAAATCCTCTACGACCATTCAGTTACTCGGACCAGCGCGGGACAAAATAGCCGAGCTGATGAATGCGTTGCACGGACACATGGATAGACTTCACTTCACTTGGCTAATTATCTACGTACTTATTAGATCAAGCTGCGCAGTGCGGGGTAATTTAGCGGCAGCTTTAGGACTTCGACTCTGTGCTATCCAGTTTAGGGATACTACAGCATACCTACGATAAGTCTTACTTTGATTAGTTGCTCGAGGAAATTATAACCAGTTCGTCCCAGAGATCTAAACCTGTCTTCAATTCCTGCGCCAAATAGAACGCCCTAACGTGTAACCTTGTTCGAGTTATACCCAAGAACTCCCAGTAATTTGAGTTATATAAGCCTTCAAATGCGAATGAATAGTCTGGTCTAGGAAGATCTCGAATGTAGCACCATTAAGACATGTCAAAGTGACAATTTTATTTATTTATCTATATCGAAATCAGAAGCTTTTTTTTCACAGCCACTGGGCTTTTCTTTTCTTTTGTTATGTTGAGTTGATTTTCCCGCCCAAGTAAACACTTGAGGCAAAAGAAAAATAGAAGTTGTTCATTTCCAAAAGGTAGCAATCACAAGAGGTTACGCAACAGTGTCCAAGAGGTATACGGGCCAATAAAAGACTCATTTAGAAAGCCTGTTTCTAAGTATCGGTTGTGTTTCTCTGAAAGCTCCATCATCTGATATCCCCAAGCTGCTTGGCACCTCTGCCAATTCAAGCATCTTCACTGAATTTTGAGAAATGATTTTTTTGTTTTTCAAACTCACATTCTAGACTAATTAATTAAATTTGATACCCACTGACTCTATTACCTTCCCAAAAAGCCACAGAAACTATAATACATTCAATTTGGTGACTCTCAGCAAACTTGCCATCGATTCCGTACCCGTCAGCTGTAAAACTTGCACAAGAGTATCAAGTATTGTGTTTTGTGTGGGATGTGATGAAAATTGTCATGATGTGAAAAAATGTTTGCTTTTCTGGAGTGAAATGTAACTAATACAATGAAAAGCCTGCGCGAATAAAGAAATCTCGAGAGGCCAACGAAGTCGTGATCTCAAAGGACTGTGGAAGTGTACAGGTGAAAAGAAGAAAAAGGAAAAACCCCCTCAACTCTCCGCCGGTCCCTCCCCCAATCAACTAAATTGAAATACAAAGCAAGAATTACAAGGTATAGACTACCTAGCATAAAGGTTTCGGGTATCAGACTTTTGATGAGTACTCGCGCTTTGCCGATAGTGATGGATGAAAGTGAAAACATCAAACTCATCAAAACAATGACTTTTCCCTGATCTCTTCAATCTGCTCCGTCACATTGACTACCAATACATATCGAGTAGGTACCGGGTGTGCACGATATGTGACAGATTGCAACCGATTGAACCCAGAAAAAATGCCTCCATAGAAGATCAAACCTCTCCATACTCGGGTGCGTCGGCGTAATCATTTTCCTCAGTTTTGGTTTCGGTTTCTTCTGCTGGTGGTGCACCAACAGAGGAGTTCTCTGGCATCAAACCCTTCTCCTTGAGGTACTTGATAGACTTCAAGATTGTCAAATCATCCTTGGCCGTGTCGTTAAGAATGAGACGTTGAGCAATAGTCATTTTACCACCATTCAGCTCCTTCTCTCGCAAAGCTTGATTGCGGACGTCTAAGTCGTGAACGAAGCGGCACTTGCCCTTCTTGCCGCAGGTGCCACCAGTAGAATAGTACTTGCAGTGACGTTGAAGCTGAGCTTTTGTTGGCGGTGCTCGTGCGTGCACGATACCATTAAACCCATTGTTGCGCGATGTCATCGTTTCCGGTTTCCCCGAGTCAGAATTAGATGAAGAATCATCATCATCACTCACTTGACCACGATCTTCATCGCCTTCGTCGCCATTTTCACGCTTGCGCTTTCCACCGGACATCTCCTGTTTGATCTTACGTTCAGCTTTCTCAAGTTCTAGTCTGAGCTTCTCGGCCTTGCGTTGCTGTTTTTCGAGCTTGGTCTCTCCCTCATCCTTTTTAGTGGGCTTTGCTTCAGGTTCTTTCTTGAACTTATGATTCTTGTTTTGTTCACGTTTCAAGCGAAGCTCCTCAGCAGCGGCTTCTCTACGAGCTTTCGTAGGGAAGCGGCTTTTACGCTCAGCCAGCCATGCCGTGAGATCTGCAGGTAACCTAAAATTTATTAGCAAAAAGAACAAGAAGAACTAATCTTCTAGGCCTGCAAAAACATACTGTGGAGTATCTGGACCAAGCAAAGTAACCAAACGAGCTTCTTCATCAACATCATCAATCTCATCATCGCTATCCTCATGATCCACACCGTTTGGTGTCAACCCAAGAGTATTTGTTCTGCGCTTCTTCTTATTCTTCTTCGCATTGTCTCCTGCACCTGCAGGCTTGAAATGCATTGGAGGAGATTGTGAATTGCCATTGAAAGAACGATTGTTGTCGCGACCGCGAAATTGAAAATTATCACCGCGACCTCTACCTCTAAAGTTCCCATTTCCTCTGCCCCGATTAGAGCTGGAGTTGAATGAATGAGAATCATGCGATGGACGCTGTCCTCCATGACCTCCATTAGAGAAGTTTTGTGGGGGATATGCTTGATAAGCAGGCTGAGAAAACGGAGCAGGGGGAGTCTGGTGATTGGAATATTGGGGGGTAGGAAAACCATTGCCCGCTTGAGCCATATGATCTCCACGTTCGTTCTCAAATCCCATGCGGATCGGAGGACCCATGAGAGGTGCTTCATGACCGCCACGGCCATTGTTGAAACCGCCACGACCACGACCTCTATTATTATTGAACTGATGTTGTCCTTGAGGTGGACCTTGCCATTGTTGAGGTGGGCCACTAGGGTGTGGTTGCTGAGAAGGTGGGCCATAGGGTTGTTGAAATGGTGCAGGTTGCTGCGGACCATATTGTGGTGGTGGCTGTTGATTGAAGCCCTGTGGGGCATAATTTGGATGGTAGTTCTGCGCAGGAAGAGGAACTTGAGGTGGTGGCTGGTGTGCTTGTTGAGGTGGACCGTGATTGTGCTGAGGTGGACCATGCTGACCCTGTTGTTGCCATTGCTGAGGATAATTATTAGGGGGGCCGTTGTGGCCAGGACCTTGGGAGCCACTCGGAGGTCCTATGTAAGGTGCTGGATTATGCGGATTGTATTGGTCGCTTGGAGGACCCTGTATCTGCGGAGGACCGTTGTAACCATTTTGATGTGAGTGAGAAGGGCCATTGTGACCGCCTCGCGCTCCACCTCTTGGGGGGCCATTATTACGCGTCTGTTGATATGGAGGAGGTTGCTGATATCCATACTGAGGGTTTTGTTGAGAATATCCAACAGAAGGTGGTCCTGAAGGAGGAGGAGGAGGGGGAGGGAAGTTGTACTGCTGCGTACCAGCCATAACGACGTCGGACTTCGAGTTGTTGCGTTGATAAGGTGGAGGTTGATCGGGAAGTTGACTTAAATAATGTGAAATCTTCAGAACATGTATATTCTGCGCGGCAGGGGTTTGGTTGATTATAGGTTGACTGTACTGAACAGCTGTTGGCCCTGAGTTTGAAAGTTGTCGCAAACTGTTTCGTGCTGGTGGTTGGATCTTCGTTGCACCGTATCGACCAAAAGGATTGCCGAGTATTGGAATGGGGGCTGCTACGTATTAATTGATGAAACCCGATGGCTCAATGAAAGAATTATTGAAAAGGGATGATGAAGCAAGATGGAAAAGAAGGCCGCCTCGCGCAATTATGATTTGGTCGGGAGGACATCTCTCTTATTATTTAGTGTGGAAATTGTCGCACGACATGAACCAATAGAAATTCTCCCTAACTAGGGGAGCTTGGCTGGATTATGTAAGGCTCTTTTCCATCGATCTTTCGATCATGAACCTCAGAGTTGAAGAGATCTTGGGTGAATTTTGGGAAAACTTTGAAGAAACAATAACATACCCATTTTGAGTATTTCCTCCGTTGTTGATGATACCCAGGTAACTTTAGAAAGAACTTTTCAAGAACAAAGTTGATCTGGTAGAAGAAAAAGAAGTAGAAGAAGAAGGAAAAATTGAGGTAGTCGGAGAAGATTCTTTATTTAGATCCGAGAGTTGAATTTTGTTCAATCTATGATACCCGACTGTCCTACTTGATGGGTTCGCAAAAGTGAATATTCAGAGGAACCACGCAATCTTGATCTACCTAGGTAGTCACGTTACATTATTCTATTTTACTTCGGTTGATTTTATTTCATTCACTTTCATTTGGTGGCTCGTTGTTGAAGCAGCATCAGCCGTACAAAAGGAAAGAACTATCATAGGAGGGGAGGAGCAAGGCACAAGAAGCAAAAGCATTTTTTGACTTGGCCAACAATCAGCGCGGTATATCATCATGTTCATTCTCGTGAGTCTTTCTTCTCAAATCCGGGGGAAGAAATGATATTCTAACTCTTTACAAAGACCAAAATTGCCGATTTAGTTCAAATCGCGCCTCAAGATTTGGGGAAAAATGCTAGTCAAGCAATTGAGGATAACATCAACCTTAAATATGCCAACAAGGTGATTCAGAAGATTGGTCTTTGTATCTGCTTTTATGATCTTCTCTCGGCCTCGGAAGGCTTGATTGGTCATGGTGATGGTCTTGTAAATGTCAATGGTACATTGTTCCTGGGAATCATCACAGCATTTTATGTTTTGCTAACCACTCAGCAGTTGAATTTCGCATCGTCGTGTTCAGACCTTTCAAATTCGAAATCATGACAGGAAGGATTAGCAGTTCTATTGAGAGTGGTATTAGAGGTTAGTATATACGTGTGTAGGCTGATCAAGCTTCGCTAACAATATCAAGTTCGGACTCACTTTTTTGATGAAATCTTCGTCCCCGCAAAAATGCTACCAGACGGTTCACACTTGTAAGTCGGCCTCGTTCGTCCCTTCTCCATTTTGGTTACTAACAATCACCCAGCAACCACAATGAGCAAGTTTTCATCTGGGAGACCGAAGAAGGTACACAACTTTACTTCGATAACCAGGAAACAGTGCGATTTCGGGTCGACTCCGAGCAATGGAATGATCAAGCACCACTGGGCCCTGAAAAGCAAGATGACAGTGAGGAATCACGAGTAATTGAAGCGCCTTACAAGATAGTAGCTTCGATGGAAGAAGTTGGATTGGGGCCTTGCTTATGGTGGGACTAAGGAGAAACGGACGTTCAAGAAGTTTCAAGGGGGCCCAAACAATTATGTGGAGCAATATCATATGCATTTCTGGAGTTTAGGAAAGAGTCTAGGATCTGGAGTTCATTGAAATTCGATAGGCTCTTCAGGGCTGTTCTCAGGTATATTAGAATTTAGATGGAGCAACTCCGACAACTAAGATCGGCGCTAGTCCAAGGGCTCTTTTAAATCCACTGTAGTGACTGCATTCTATATAATAGTTTGTGTACTGATACTGTTCAAAATTCTGCAATATTTTATGGCTGCCAAAATTTAGAGACAGATTCCGCCGTGGGCATAAATATCTTTCGTGATTGCACAAAGCTTTGTCACCATCTTGGTAACCATAAGACAAACACGCATACGAACTCTATACAATGAAAAACTTTCTTTGGAGCGATATGTACGGGTATTTTTGTAATTGGGGTTTCAACGCTTCTTCTCTTCGTTTTCCTTGTTGAACTTCTCATAATGTGCGACCAACTTCTCCATATCTCTAGCTCTGTGACCTGCTGGAACGTTCCATGGGGATCCTGTGTTGAATTGTCTGTAGAAAATCAGCTTCTGGATTAGGTACTGGAGATATTGAGACCAACTCAGGGAATCTAAGATTGACATGTGCACTGCCCACATCACTCTGGAAGAGGTTGCGGTCAAAAGCAGCTTGTTCGAGCATAGAAACATGTAGCGCGTTTCTTGCGGCCCATTTCTCTTTATAGTGTGAATAGCTATCGATCAGCTTCGCAAGACCAGAAGGAGATCCGTCGGCGGATGGTTGGGCGTATTGATAAACTCCAATCGAGATAGGGATAGCTGCGAGGACAAGGAAGAAGCCGGTCTATATCGTGATTAGTCGTATGACTTATGTAGGAGACAATCGAAAGCTCACTCCGAAAGACTCGTTTGTTGGGCCCGCATGATGATGTCCATGTTCTGTACTCGATCCAGCGAAGTGATGGACCTCATCACCGGTCTTTCCATGTTGTGCAGACGACCATCGTCGCGGAACTCGAGCAGATACTCTTCCAACTCGATCGGCAGACTGAACCGCCTTTCTCCTAAGCGCGAACATTTTGTTGTGTATTAATTGACGTTCAATATGTCATTCCTAGAGGTCGTTGTGTTTGGAAGTCCCTCCAATTGATGACCTTTGATGACTAATGAAGCCTCAGGCACTTGGTCGAAGGACCCCACAAATTGATTAACCCTCCGAAGGCAAAGGAAAGCGAAACGATTGAATAATAAATCTGTACTTATTGTTTGAAGGCCACTTGTCCTTACGACGATGACTACAAATAACCCAGTAGATCACCACCTTACTCTTATTGACGCTTTAAATCTGGAAAGTGAATCAGAAGACTCAAATTCAGCAGAATCTCTTGCTTCATTAGAAAGTGATACCGAAGAACGACCACCCGAGAAGATACTCACTGAAATAGTGGGGAAGAACAACCATATCTGGTATCTCGTCAAGTGGAAAGATTGTCCTCTTTTACGTTCCAGCTGGGAAGGAGAATCGTGTTTTGAAAATTATCCTTGGGTTTTTGATCAGTGGCTAGTTAATAAACAGGGCCAAAAAGAAGGAAAAATTCGGCCTTTTGACTTGCAAGCTTTCGATCAAGCCTGCAAGGACCTCGACCTAGCAGAGAGGCAGCGAAGAATTCTGAGACGGTTCAGAAGAAAAGCTAAACGACTTTTATCGATTGTAGCTGATTGAATAAGTCATTTGAAAAGAGTACTCGATACATTTCATAACAATTATAATCTAAAATGGTTATTGTAGGAACACGCAGCATACTGAGCCTGGCATGGCTCAGTCTTCCAATATTTGCGAGGGCATTGTCGATGGATCCAGAGGCCTCACCATCCGCAGATACCGAGCTCATATGTCCTACAGATAACCAAGCTGAATGCTACCCTCGAGTCTTTCAACCAACGAGAGACTTCCAACTCATCAAGCCTGGACAAGATATTCCACCAGGCCTTCACGTTCGGCTAAATATATCTTCTGGCTTGAAAGAAGCTCGCTTGAATATTCCAATGGAAGGTGATGATGTTACGCTGGAGCTTGACATACCTACAGAACAAGCCATGGTCGTCATTGAAGATGCCGAAGTTGAAATCTCGGAAGACCTGCAGCCACCCTCGAACGCACCAGCGTACAGCGGCCATGGGAAGATACAGCCCCCACCACCCTCATCGTCTGACTTTGAATCATTCCGGACTTCTCTTGCCTCGTTGAAAGAGCAAGATGCTTCCCTCGATTCGGCTTTGGTTTCACTTTCGGAACTGTCACACGACATTTATTACGGATCTGAACTTATGGCCGATAAGGAGGCAGTTTCTGCCCTGATATGTCTCATGGCCATGGAATCCTCGGGGCCTGGAGATGAAAATGACCATTCAGCCTCCGCCGCTCTCTCCGGTTCTCTACAAAACAATCCTACTGCCATCGGCTCCCTTTCCCTGTTTCACGATATCGTTATGAAACCTACTTGTCCTGTCCTTCGTGAAAATAGACTAAGTCTTATTCCTGCACTCCAGAAGAAGCTGTCAGCCTCCACAACATCACCTTTATCTCTCAAATCTCAAATTTCAGCCCTTAGTGGCCTCTTGAAATCGCCAGAAATCCAAAAGTCTTTCCTTGAGCAAGATGGCACTTCATACCTGCAGTCCGTCTTCTTGAAGTCTGGATCTCAATATGACGTCGTTCGAAAACGTGTCGTGCAGCTTTTGATGGACAATTTCCTAGATGATAGCATGGGGGCGCGGATAGGTGTTTGGCCGAAGGTAGATGTAATCCAGAAGGGGGAGAAGGATTGCAATGGTGACGTTATCAATGATGAGTGTTGGGCTTGGTATGGGAAAGAGTTTCATGGAACGGAAGGTGGAAGAAATGAATGGATGGACGAATTTTTGGAAAAGATAAGTCAGGGTAGTCAGGGCGGGGGGAGAGACAGGGAATTATAAATACAGATGTAACACACGCCTGTTAATGTATGAATTTATATACAAAATTGAATTAATGGCCAATCCACTTCCAGAGGAACCGTGGCTGGCAATTTCCTTATGACAAATAGTAATTTGTGCTGCGTTGCGATTCAAGCTTTTCCCCCTAATGTGAAAGATATGCGAAGAAACCGGCTTCCCGGCCATCAGATGTACAGGGAGGAATATGAAAAATATCACGGTATTCTCACCTCGGAAGTGAAACTTCGCATACCCACGCCCCAGACGACGCCATGTCTTGCGGACAACTGATTCTAAGATTTCACAGAACTTCTAGCCAATCCTACTATCCAACATACTTTCTCAAGCACATTCAGCGCAACCAGCAAAATACGGTATTATGAAAGAAAGAAGTCTTGGAGGCTTGGCAAAATTGTGGTACTTGAATCGGGAAGAAACTTAAACATGATATGCAGATTTAGAAGAAACATCTGAGATTCTGTCATCACTGTTGTGGTGCAGAGCTCCCGGTGAGGCAGTTGACATTTATACTCATCTGGACCGTGCCCGCTCAACACTTATGCCTGAGGCACAACACACCGACATCATCACTTTTGGGTGGTCAACTCCATTTTCGAGACTCAGTACTCTACAAGCTCTCTACAATATCGAACCTTGTTTACCAGCTTCCAGTCTGCCAAAATGTTGTTCTTCAGGTGAGTGCGATCCCACAAGCAGCTCCGAAGTTGCAGCAGCTAATATTTCTCCACTACAAATAGCTTCTTTAAAACCTTGGTAGATCACGAAGTTACAGTCGAGCTTAAGAACGATATCCAGATCAAAGGCATATTAAAATCGGTGGACCAGTACCTAAACATCAAGCTGGATGATATTCAAGTGGTAGAGGAGCTTAAATACCCACATCTGGTCAGTAGTTCAGCATGGGCGACAGCAACGCAATGAAATGCGATGGGCTATGTGCTTCGAGTTTTGTGATGCTGATGATGCGCGCATAGTCATCGGTCAAGAATGTTTTCATAAGAGGAAGTGTCGTCAGATATGTACATCTTCCTGGCGGCGTAATTGACACAGCGCTTCTGGAAGATGGTAGGTCCCCTATACTGACCGAATACTATGTATGGAGGCTAATGATCAATGATAGCTACTAGGAGAGAGGCCGCACAACAGGCGACTAAAGGGAAATGAACGCATACACTCAGAGCGGAAGATAATAGTTGATGTGAATGCTTTTCCTTCGTGGGAAGGATATACGCTATAGATGATATTGAGAAGGCGGATGGGAAGAGGGGCATGATCAGCAGGATAGGCACTGCGACCGGCCAACTCAAACCATTCTATATGTTAATGAAGATTTATGGGAAAGCAAACACGGAAAAGTAAGTTCAGCAATACGTTGCTTCGAATTGCTTGGGTTGTAAGGAAAAAACATCAAAATTTCATAATTCACCCCACATCCGCTGAAAGTCTCGAGAAAAGACACCTCGAAATGTAATGTATGAAGTTGTTTGTGCTTTTATAAAATTCAAAAATCCATGGGAATTTATTATTGGTTCTGCCCCTCCAGATTTGTGAATATTTTGTCGCTCTATGTCAGGTGATAGCGTGGACCGCGCACTACTTTTCGTGATTTCTTATCAGACCGACTCAGATGAATCGCCTCTAGACAATCTATCTTTCTTCGGAAATACTTTTACGGGTTCAAGTAACTTGCCAATAACTTCGGGGTTATAACAATTGATTAAAGTCGATTCGAGACTCCCTCATTCTTCAATGGCCTAGATAAAGCAGTCTTAGCTTTGCCCTTCACCCTGCATCTTAAAATACAAACAAACAACTACCGATGGCAAACGTTGACACTTCACAATTCTAATACCGCACAATTGTAAAATACTATGTTTCGGAACCCCCGAGAGAACTCAGCTAAACCTACAGACTCTCATTTGAAACCATCCACCGGTAGACCACCCACGCCACCCGGCACTCCCTCAATTCCTCGACCGGTAGTTACAATGGCCCCTCGAAATACAAACAAACCGGCTACCCCGCGACCTGCCAAAAATTCCATCCTCTCTGCTTTCAACAAGCAATCATCGAAGAAGAGTGCGACAGCGAAAACGCCAGTGAAAGCCAATGGCACCATCCTGAATTTCTTCAAGAAAGTGGACAACCCCCTCAAAGACGATGACTCTCTTTTCGTAGCCCAACGATCTGGCGTGGCATCACATTTTCCTCCTCGCGGACCCAGTCTGGGTCGGGACGAAGGCGATTTGTACGGAGCTAGCGAAGAATTGATAGATGAACGTTACAATGAGACCGAAAGGTCGATCAAAAAGCGTAAACTTTCAAACAGTCCCAAAATTGAAGGGTTCGAAAGTAATCTCGCTACGCCTTCAATACCAACCGAGCCAAGTAGTCCTTCAGTCAAGAATCCTTTGCCAACTGAAAAGGCAACAACCGCAATTAGAGCACCACGCCGATCAGGACCGTTCTTGGATGACTCTGATAGCGATGGAGACTTTATGGAAGGCCCCAAGGCCGAGATTCAAAAGCAAGGGCGAGCACGCGTAGAGGACAAGGAAACTGGAGATCCTCTTAGAAATGGCATTGCAGAATTGAACATTGAGAAAGGGCCAATTTTTAAAGATACCTCCGCCGCATCATCTACCGAAATACTCTTACCTTTGGAAGGTAGCGTTTTTAAGCCCCGGAAGAAAGTTCCGGTTGCAAGAGCTCAAGCGAAATGGGAAGCATTACAGCCAAAGAATACAAGGACCATGTCATCATCGGAAGATGAGGAACCAGAAACGTTGAGAGATTCAAAATACTTCGATAGTAAGAGCAAAGGGAAGATAGAGTCGGAATCGGAATATGAGGAGCCCGATACATCAAAACCCTCAAAAAAGGTCGATAGTAAGGAAAAGAGCAAAGGAAAACGAAAAAGGAAGAGCAATACACTTTCTGAAGTTCCAGTCTTGAAGCAGGAGAATACAAGTGTAGATACATGGGCAACTTTTGAGGATATGGGTGAATTCCCTGACGAGGATCTGGATGGTGAAGAATTTCTAGAGCGCAAATGGATGGAGGAACAAAATAACCTAGAACCCGATGAAGCGCAGGAAGATGAAGATTCATTCAATGGATTCGATGACGATGACGGCGTTAATGGCAATACAGGAGAAGGAAATGTCTCTGCTTGTCCTCTGTGCGATGCGAATTTGAGCAGCCTTACTTCAAATGAAGCCTCAATGCATGTTAATGCGTGTTTAGATGGGAAACCCATACCTCTACCAACAAAGATTAAAGCAAAAGCATATTCAGAATCAAGCGAAGCAAAAGTGGTAATGCCCGAAGTTGCCAGGAACCGTTTTGCCAAGAAAGCAGCAGTTCCAAGACCAGGGCAGGTGAACCCAATTGATCTCAACAGCGAGGGGGGATCTGCATTTTCCAAAATCATGTCAGGCCACGCAGAAGATGCTGCTTGGGCTAACGCTGCAGATAAGGAAAAGTCATCTCGAGGAAAGCCTGCACACCAGAGGACTTGCCCATTTTACAAGATCATGCCTGGGCTGTTCATCTGCGTTGACGCATTCAGATATGGTGCAGTTCAAGGCTGTAATGCTTACTTTTTGAGTCACTTTCATAGCGATCATTACATTGGTCTAACTTCTACCTGGTCACACGGTCCTATATATTGTAGCAAAGTCACTGGCAATCTCGTCAAACAACAACTGAAAGTAGATCCAAAATGGGTTGTATCCATTGAATTTGACGACAAGATCGAAGTGCCTAATACACAGGGCGTTTCAGTGACAATGATTCCAGCTAATCATTGTCCTGGAAGCTCGCTTTTTCTCTTCGAGAAGACTACTGGCGGTGGCCAAAGGCCTAAAGTTCAACGCATTCTTCACTGTGGCGACTTTCGAGCTTGTCCGGCGCATATTGCTCACCCTCTTCTAATGCCCAACGTCGTCGACTCAATCAATGGGAAGACTAAACAGCAGAAGATCGATGTCTGTTATCTTGATACTACATACCTGAATCCCAAATACTCATTCCCATCGCAAGAAGATGTCGTAAAAGCTTGCGCAGATATGTGTGTCAGTCTTAGTAAAGAAAGGGCAGAAGAAAGTGATGCATGGGAAACAGTCAAGAGAGAACGAGCAGGATCCAAGATGACGAATTTCATCAAGCCTTCTATGAAGATTGAGGCTGAGGACTCTGACACCCCAGAAACGTCTTCCAAGAGCGAGAAGAAAGCTCGAGGCCGTTTACTTGTCGTTTGTGGTACCTACAGTATTGGCAAGGAACGCATCGTACTTGGTATAGCTCGCGCTCTAGATTGCAAAATCTATGCAACTCCAGGAAAAATGCGTATCTGTGCTGCTTTAGAAGATCCCGAACTTACAAGTCGCCTGACATCGGATCCTCGGGAGGCACAAATTCATATGCAGATGCTTATGGATTTACGGCCCGAAACTTTACAAGACTACCTTACTGGTTATAAGCCCCATTTCACACGTGTTGTGGGGTTTAGACCAAGTGGTTGGAGTTATAAGCCACCGAATTCTCGGTTTGTAGATTCTCCTCCGATTCACACGATTCTTACTGCTACAAATTGGAGGTCGGAATACAGCATGGGAGAATTGGTACCACAGAGAGGAAGTACAAAAGAAGCGCAATGTTTCGGAGTACCGTATTCTGAACATAGCAGTTTCAGGGAGTTAACGATGTTTGTTATGGGTTTAAGAATTGAAAAGGTGGTTCCAACTGTCAATGTCGGTAGCGAAGTTGGGAGGAAACGAATGAAGATGTGGATTGATAGGTGGCTTACGGAGAGAAGAAAACATGGAGTACTGAGATTTGGAGATAGTAAGGAAGAGGGAGTGGTTCAGTGGTAGAGAGCGGATTACTTGGATACTAAACAGCTTCTTCAAGGTTTTAGTTTCGAGTTATAGAGTTCCAAGATGAACTGTAGAAAGCTTCCTGATGTATGTTTCGAAGAAATAGCGACAAGCAGTGTTTAAGTAAAAGCGCAAAAGCACAGCAGGGAGGAAAAATTGTAGTTAGGTAGTTGGTTATGAATTAATGACAATGACAGATACGATGATATTGTGTATGTTTCAGTCAATTGCGGGTATTATACTGACCTATATTCTCACCGAATGTTCTTTTTATTTGACTTTACTGCCACGGGTACTATCAACCTCTTGCCTCTTGTTCAAAGTGCTGAGTTCATCTAGGCACACTTCTACTGATCAGGGGTAGCGAGCTCTTGCCACATCTCGAAGAGCCAATTTAAAAAGCCCAATCACAATCTTTTTACGAGTATTTTGGCTTCGTTAGTAGAGTACCTCTGAGTTATATATCTAGGTATTGATCGATATAGGAGCTTTCATTCTCGGTATATACTACATAGTTACAACTTGAGGCTGATGATATTATTTGATAATGTTTTATTAATCAACTTTACAAACAGCTAGCTACGATAGTTAATAGAGTTATGAAAAATACTAGGGACACCTGTTTCTCTTATCACTAGGTATTTACTATTATTATTAGTATTTACTAAATCCAATAACCAACCACCTACCCAGCCCCCAGCTATATTTCAATACTAATACAAATAATAATCTTATAAGACACACATAACACACACTAATTACATAAAAACCCGCCTCCATTCATAAATTCACAAAAAAAATTCATAAATTCAATCTACCTACTGTAACTACCTACCTAGGTAAAACCAAAGCAACCTAAGCACAAATTCCCTTACCCGAAGTCTCGGGATCCCCCTTGTTTCTCATCCCTGTCTGGCCTTTCCCTCCCTCGCCTCCTTCCCAAATTTCCCCACACACCAGTTACAAATATCCACGGCAGCCGAGTTTTTCCCCATATTTTGTGATGACATGATTTTCGGGGCGGATTTTCAGGGTACGTACGTCGTGATCGGCGGTCGGATGCATGGAGATGATGAAATGATTGTCAGGAACTGCGGTGGGATCCTTGTTTTTGATCCCTTGTACGATACGATATTTGGGGGCCGCCCGTTGGGCGAGGGGGTTGGAGGAAAGGGATGGTTGGGAATACGGGGTTGGATTTGGATGGATGGGTAGAGATGGAGATGGAGATGGAGATGGGGTCTCCAGGAGGAAAGTGGATGGATCGTTTAGGGATTGATGATGATGACGATGATGGTGTTGGTGATGATGGTACGCATATGTGTTATGTATCATGTACCTATGTACTATGTAATCTTACTATGTATGTATGTATGTATGTATGTATGTATGTATGTATGTATGTATGTATGTATGTATGTATGTATGTATGTATGTATGTATGTATGTATGTATGTATGTATGTATGTATGTATGTATGAACTCTTGTTTATTGATATTCTAGATAATCATATTTGGAAATCTGATTTGAGCCTACGACATTGCTTGAGACGCTTGGTAATTTACTCCACATACTAATTATGTAGGGAGTGATCAGGTGCAATTTTCCAACTACAAATTTCGATGCATATTTCTTCTCAGTAATGTATGTATAGAAACCTGTCGATATTCAATTACCATTCATATCCATTCATACCTATCGTAGGTGTCTAGCACTCCACTCCACATACATATCAAACGCAAACAAGCCCGATCCCCCCAAAAAGGGGGGAATTCCAATAACAAGTAGTCGCATGATCACTCTTCCGTATAAATAATATATTCTAAAAGTAAAAAAGCTTTGATAAAGTGGGGGCAAGAGGGAAGCAAGGGACTTGGTCTTGGGTGTCTCAATTGCCATGTACGCAGTATGGTGTCTTGCTTGACTCTTGGACCCCGTCTAGTCCGCCTCATTGTCGATCGGTCTAATCGTTTCCGGCCATTTCTTGGGGTAACGTGGCGTGCATTGCATGGGAGGGGAGGGGAGGTTTGAGATGGGGTAATCTACGAGAGAGCGTGCTTACCTACCTATTTTGATATGATATGTACAGAGTGCTTACCTTACTCTATGTAGCTCGGTATGGTATGATATGGTATGTAAGGTATGTAAGATATGCTCGGCAAATTGTGGGGTTGGAATTTGGAATGGGGAAGGGGTGGTCCGATGTCTCAGGAGTCAGGATGTGAAAATGAGGGGAGAGAGTCCCAAGGAGCGAGGGGGGCTCGAGAGGAGAAGGAATGGAGGAGGAAGAAAAAAATGACAAGTCTGAAAAATGCCAATGGATGAATGCGATTGGGAATCCATTCTCCAAATGCGCGACGGATCGAAAAGGAGGCTGAGTGATGTACCTCCTGGTTAGCGCGTCAACTAAGTCACACAAATGTACGGACGAGCTGGGTATCTCCGTATGCGCGCGTCTTCTCTTTGCCATCCCGAGGTTGAGCTGGCGAGCGATCGAGCTATGTATCTAGTATCGAGCTACGAGTACTTACTAATGGAATGATTGACTGACGCTCTGAAGCTCTGCATCTGAAGCTCTCCTTAGTACTCTAAGGTTACCCCGGATTTATAGGTAGATACGTGATCATGTACGATTGGACACGACGACGAGACCGACTACAAGACAGAGAAGGAAGCCAAGAAGAACATGAAAGAAAGACAAGACAAGACAAAGAAACAAAAGCAAAAATAATGATAAAGAGGAACAAGTTCGTTTCTGCTATTGTCTCTCAGAGGCATCTCCTTTATCCCTATTTATCTCTTGATCTTATACTCTATGTAGTCTAGTATAATGACATATACACATACATACATACATATATAATCTTGCTTGGTTGCTTGCTTGCGTAAAATGTTTCCCCAACTCCCAACTCCCAATTCTCTATCTCACCTATCTCACCTATCCCATACCCTTTCCCCATCATCCATCCATCCTCTCTATCATCCATTCTCCCTCTCCCTCTCCCTCTCCCTCAACCCCCTCCTCAACCCCCTCCTCAACCCCCTCCTCAACCCCCTCCTCAAACCCAAACTCAACCCCCTCCCCCCTCAAAAAAAAAAGTAAACATAAAAACCCCACCCAAAAGACCCCTAAAACCCACTCCCGAGTCTCCCTCACAAAACTCGCCACATAAACAAAACCTAGAACCTAGTATAAACCCAGCAGCGCACCCTTACTGCACTGCACTGCACTGCACTGCACCATCAATCAAATCAATCAAATCTTCCATCAAATCATCAATCAAATCATCAATCAAATCATCAATCAAATCATCAATCAAATCATCAATCAAATCATCAATCAAATCATCAATCAAATCATCAATCAAATCATCAATCAAATCATCCATTAACTCAATCAACCCATCCATCAAATCTTCAATCAAGATCGACATGCCGAAAGTTCCCACAGAAGAAAGGCGCAAAAATGCGGGATGCGGGATGAAAGGATGTGTGTGGCATTCTAGAAGTATAGGAGGGGGCGACAAAGGATAAAATTTTAGCACGACATACTAGGCTATCGGTACTCAAATTTCATAGGGTGAGATGGGACCATAGAAATCATAGGGGGAAATTCTAGGAATGATTGTAAAAGGATAAATGAAAGAGACCGCAAAGTTTTCTCATCTAGTGTAAGAATATGACGACACTTCATCAAAGCCCGTTTGATCCCTTACATGCCATCAGATCACAACATAACCACATTACTTTGCATCACATAGCTCTAGAGATTATTTGCTTTGTATATTGTTCATTTTTGTTGACTACTGTATTGGTGTATATGCTCAATAGGTCGCCAATTTATTTCTCCTCTCCCTTTCCTGCCTAGGTATGGCGTGCGCCAATTCGCATGGTTGCGAAAATGCAGTGAGGTGTGCATTTGTATAGTGTGCTTGCGCACCACTCATGGTCCCCATCGTACAGTGTAAACCCAATTTTTTCCTCCTCAACCAAAAGACAAACCAGTCTCTCCTATACCCAGTGAAAGCCCAACCCCCAATCGTAACGAATTTGCCCGAACCCTTTATATGTAACCCATTGCCAAAGTACAATTTTGGCTATCATCCTCAAGCCCTGACCCCATTAAGAGAAACCCCCGTTCCCAAGCCAAAACGCCGACCAATCCCAATTGTGGTTCCTGAACCCGGTGTGTAAATGCAGCATCTAATATGTGCTTTAGTATTATGTACAAAAGTCGCCGTATATACGTCGACATTATATTTCGATCAATAATTGTATCGTGTGCATGAGTTGACCCTTGGAATGCCAGTGAGGCTTTCGAGAGCCGTTGTCCAAACCTGGAAATTAGCGCCTCCATCCGACATTCCAGATGACATGTGCGATGTCCTTTGCTGTATTTACAGTGTCGACAACTTTTCCAAAAAGTCCTTCAGATACAGCATCATCTTCATCTTCTTCATAGGGCATAAACATGCCGGATGGCGTTCTCCTCATACCAGATGGCTCCTCGTTACCAACAGAGTCCGAGGTGCTGAGACTGTGGAATCGATCTTGCGCAATGGATACGCTATCTTTTCTATGGGCAAACGCATTGGGTGGTTGCCAATCGATATCATCATCGTCTTCATCATCGCCTAGAAGCATTCTTGTTGATGGTTTTGAAGGCTTCAATGTGTCTTGAGAGGGTGACGGTGACAACTTTCCTCCGTGAAAAGACCCACTGTGCTTCATGGCTGTTTCCTGTGGCTCGGGGGTATCTGCTCGGTACTTGAGTGTTGTGGATGGTAACATTGCAATGGTTTTGCTATCAGTCATGGAATTGACTCTGGAAATTATCCTCTTCCTCATTGGTGGGAGTTGTCGTTTAGAAGTGCTTCTCTTCATCATGATAGCTCCATCATCGGAGTCACTATCGTCAAAGTCTTGAGTACTGTAGTCCAGTTCGTCATCATCATCGCCCTTGACTTCCAAAGCTATACATTGCGATACTTGTTCATTGAAGCTAATGTGTTTCTTTTCAGTACCGGGGGTGATTAGTCCTGACGAGGTAACCGATGAAAGCATACTCAAATCAGCTTGCTCAGATTGTCTACTTGCAAATTCATAGGGAACGTAGTCAGATGCAGCCCTAATTATGCCAGGGCGTCCATCCCCAGATTGCTGTGCTTGGACCGCAGCAGCAGCTTGTTTGAGCAATGAAGATGATGACAATGACCTTTGAAGCATTATTTCAGACATGCTTCGTTTCTTGAGAATTGGCTTCTTTTGCAAAAAGGAATTTGATTTCGATAGCCTGCTGCTGCTGATAGGAGAAGTATCTGGGGCGTTGAATGTGGTTGGTCCAGCTTGAAGTGGACCATATAGCCAGGTCACATCACAATCCTTCAACCTACAAAATGTCAGTTACTTTTTGATTCAACCTACTCACAAGAGTAGCAGTATAAACATGAAAACCTACCAATTAAGTGTTTCGGGCGAAACGGTCTTGAGTCTATATTTTGCCTTCATCCAAGTTCTCCACGAAGCATTTTCTAGTCGTTCATGATTAGAGTATTCGCCCCCCTTTGATACAATGAGTTTCCATGATGCCCATATATCCTCTTCTTTCCAATTGTGTGATAGATAATCAACGTGCCGCGAAGGTTTCGCCTGTAGTGCTGTGTCATCCTCGGCATGTGCGTGTGGTACTTCTGGGGATCCAGGTCGAGAGATTATAGAGGTACTGTTTGAGATGGGTGAGACAGCATAGGAATCGCCGGTATGTGGACAGGTTGGTGGCTCTAAATCTTCAATTTGATCGCAATATCCTGTGTCGTCAAATGTGGGAAAGTAAATTCGATCTTCATCGTCTGCATCGTCGCTATGATCGAGTGACAAGCTGCTAGCTGGCGTTGACGAGTATGAGGGGGCGACAGAATCGGCATGTAGGGTTTGGGGAGACGATGGCGCCGAAGATGCCGAGGAATTACTGGGGGATATTATCGGGTTGAATTTTACGCTATTTGATCGAGATAGAGATTGTGAATATGACGACGGTTGTGTGACGAATTTGGGCTGTGAGTGTGATCGACGAAGCGGACTTGACGAAAAGTAGGAGTTTTCTTCCGAATTGAGGACTATCGCCATTTTTGCGATAATACCTTCCGGTGGAAGAGTTGGGTTAATTGGTGGCGGAGTATGTGGTTTAAGGTCAGAACGACCTGTGATTGAGAAAGATAACCTCCTCTTCGTTTGACTTTTTCACCGTTTCTCGAATTGCCGACTTCCTGTTCCGCTGTTTCAAAAGTTGTATAATAAGTATGATATCAATCATAAACTCGAATACGTCCAGAATACTGAAAGGTTGTTTGCGAAAGTGTGGTTGGCGGTAGGTTGGTAGTTATTGTGGTAGGTAGGATTGGGTTGTAGTAGAAATTCTCCACAATTGACGTTTCGATTGATGAATTGAAGTGAACTGCGATTGATTTTGTAGGGTTTCCCAGGATTTCCGACTCCCAAGTGATCAATAGGATACAGCAGCAGGTTATCGATTGGAAAGAAAAAGGGTTGATTTTGGTGTTTAGGTTTGTAGGTGATAAGAGAAACGAGTGAATGTGGAGAATGGGGGAATGGAGGATGGAGAATGGAGGATGGAGAATGGAAAGTGTGAAATGGAAAGTGTGAAAGTGTGAAATGGAAAATGGAGAAATGAGAAATGGAACGAGGTAAAGTAATATAAATCAAGTGAGGATTGATTCTGAAGAATTTAGTTGGAAAGTCTTTTTCTTTGGAGGAAGTTTATTCTTGTACTAGGAAGAGTTTAGGAAGAGTAGTATAAGTAAAGACAAGAAAAGAAGAAGTTCTCGACCCTTGGAATTTAGGAACTTGGACACTCATGAAGTGGCTTTGCTACGGCATTTTTCTAATTGAAAAGTGGGTGGGAAGTGGATAGTGGGTTGCGAATGGAATGAGTGGGTGAGGTGAGTGCGTGGATGGGCGAGGGGGTGTGGAGTGGAGTGAGGAGTGAGGGGTGAATTTAATAAAACGTCGTGATTGTCGAGATTGAATGATCGTGAACAATGGATGAATGAGAATATGAATGAATTTGGATGTGAGCGTGAGGGGTGTGTGTGTAGCCAGGGGTAGATGGTTATATGTCTAGGAGGTATATGTGTACTATGTACCTAGGTCGTACAATCATAATAATAAGTGGTAAATGGTAAATGGTAAATGGTAAATGGTAAACGGTAATGAGTTTCCAAGGTTGTGCGTTTACCTAATAATGTAGTGGCTACTATTATGTACTAGGTAGGTAGGTATTCGAACTTTGTACATGACCAAAAACGTTAGATCTCTATCTCATACCAAGAAAGGTTAGATGGATATCATCGATAGAAATAGATGTAAAGTACGAGACTCCAGTATGCCGTCGAGATATCATATACCTAGGTAGGTCCAGTCTACACATGAGCGAAGTGTTTGGTCTCGTCTGTACTTTGTATTGAATCTAGGTACTATCGACAGATAATACAAGCACGGAGAGCATTGAGTAGGTAGGGTAGTCAGAGCTTCCTAGTATTGCATGGCATTGACACACTTTGCATCATCATCATCATCATCATCATCATCACATTCATTCACTTACTTCCAATTGATTTCATTACTTAACATTAGCTACATACAATCCTACAATACATAGGTATGTACGACACAATCAACATACACCCCAGAATTCCTTCTCTTTCACCACCTGACTCTCATTCTGCTCAATGAGGAAGTGTCTGTAGAGAAAGGAATGTTAATTTAAAATTAACAATTCCACGTTGAATATTCGCATTCATTCCCTATCCGAATTCGATGGAGTCTGAGACAGAGAACCCAAAGAAATCCCGCGTCAGAGCATTCAGAGGTCTACCTATAGGTGCCTCTCTTCTCCTCTTCTCGTGAACTTTTACCTTTTATTCCTCCCTCAGAACTTTACTATCTATCAGTCAACTATGGGCCTAGGTATATCTAATCATCAATAGTATCAAGATCTCTAAACTCTCTCCATCTTTTGATCTCTGATAAGGTATGGACTCTAGCAATGGGCCGTTCTATAAGCTTTCCAATTCCTGGAGAAGAACCTTGGAAGACTGGGGAAACGAAACACTCTCAAACATTCATCACGCCATGTTAATTCTTGATAGGTAGAATGGGTCAACCGACAGCTCCCCAGATACGAATATGGTGTAGAGAGAGGGGGAAGTTGTCTCGATTGATATCTATCTAGGCCTGAGCGTTGTGAGCAACTTTATTCTCGCGGTCTTTTTCCATTGTTTCCAGGTAGTGGCTTGTCGACTAGATAGTCTCATGCAAAACTTATCAGAATTCTGAAAGGCTGCTCTTTGATACATCGATCAATGTGTGGAATGAACACGTTTTGGGATGCTTTGTTACCTTTGTCCACGCAGGAACATTCCGGTAGATTACGTGAATATGTGCTACACTGCAGTGATTCTACCTAACGAATCTTGCAGAGTAAACTCTGTGCTTCGTACGCACCTTGAACTACATACTTACATCTCCCGTCTACATTTGCATCCTCTGTTGCATCATCATATCAAACCACTAGTATTTCTCACATCTCATGGCCTTTCGTACTTTATATCCCAGTATCTGACAGGCAATAAAACACCTATAGCGTCGGAGACCGGGGCAGATCAACCATTCCAGACCGATATGGTGGAAGCGAAATGCTCATCATCGATCAATCACCGAGAATTCCATGTTTATTAATACCAGGTTAATCAGATATCACATCGGTCTCAAATGCGTAATGGCGAACCATTGCTACAATGATAGAAGGCCTATCTCGAGAGATAATGAAGCCGCTCGCTACCTTCCTGCCTTGATCCTACTAATAGATATACCAAGCTCACTAATGTTGCTAAGTTGGCTTTCAAGATGAGGAGAACAACGACAGACGACAAACACTTCAACCTACGAGCCCGATTCTCCGAACCTAAGATTCTCCAAGGTTATGCCCCATCCGCCAATCACATCTCGTTCTTCCTCTCTTTGCGGGACAATGTGGGGATCACTGGAGACGAGCAAGGCCGAATACTCACTGGCTGCAGGAGTAGGCTGGTGGCTCGGAGAGAAAATTCTCGTTGCCCTTGCCACTAAAAATGCCAATTACCCCATGAGGTGATGGCTCAGATTCAAGATAGTCCGGAACGACCATTCGTTTTCTAGTTCCTAGATCACCCCTGAGAATATCAAGAAAGAATCCATGTCAAAACCTTTTATATCGCGAGTGTTTTACCGAACTTCAGTCGTGGTTGGGGTTGGCTGTCTTGTGCCGGCCATACTTCGTCTCTTCGAGCAGCATAACAACTTTGGAACTCTCAAGACAATGCCGTTTAACCTCGATTTACTCCAAAATATGTCAGGCCTATTGGAATCCATGTCTCCCCCTCTATTTACTATTTCCGGATTGAAGAATCAACAGAAATGTCCAATGTTCTAGTCAAAGCTTGTTCCATGATGGGAAGTATGTTTTGGAGTAGTTGAGTTTATACGGTAGGTTATCCCAGAATTCACTCATACTAATCACACTCGTTGGAGTAGTTGGAGTAGCTCAGTAGTTGGTCACGCAATAATCTTATCTCAGGAAACTTTATTCGCTCGCTTTGACAGAAACACATGCAATGGCTTAAGAGTGGCAGCATGTAAGAAGTTAGAAGGTCGGCTATCTTCAAACTCGGCCTATACGTATATACCTAGGTCCATGGCTAGGGAATCAAAGTTCAAAGTATAATCCATCGATGGTCTGGGGAAATTACCAAAGTGTTCTCAAACAGTTCTGCGTCGTTGATTGTGTTGTAATTTTAAATTCAGACCATTCTCTCCTGCTTCTCTTCACCAAACGCCGCAAGTGTATTGTCGGCATTGAGAGCTGGCAATTCTAGATTGTTACTTTCGGCGCTTCTTTTACAAATATGAGCCTCAATCTACTGATAGGAAACCGAGACCGACGGGAGATCGTCTATTTCCAACTTTCAAGAAATATGCAGGCTTTTGACTGCACCACTAAGGATCTCGAGCCACCAATTGCGCCTCGGGTTTGACCGATGAAGCATTTCTCAGATCGTAGTTGACCGAAAACAATGACATTGTAGTAGTTTCACTTCCGTATTGCTATATACGAAGGTCAGCAATGTCCATACCGAGCCGGTACGCATTGTCCTTTGTGGATGATCTTGGACGATCAACCCGTGCCGTCGAGCAACTTGCGCTGTCATCTCTGCATAGTCCTACCCAAATACGACATCTACATGATCACTGACATCTATGGAGAAACACCCGAAGCTTCTACCGCCCTCATCTTTCTGTTTGTTCATCCATTCGATATCCATCCATCTATAACCATGGTGAAGCAAAATCAGGTTTGAAAATGAACTAAACACTAGAGAAAGTTAATAGATGTGCGGACACCTATGAAAGGTTTAGAACTATCAACGTCTGTATCTGATAAGGAGCTCAAGAACAAGCATCACATAACAGGCAGGCATCCATGAGTATATCACTTCCTGCAGCAACTATTGAATGCTCAAGGTTACGAAAGCTCGATATGGAACGAACATTGGGCGGGCACATATAAGATGCGGCACTTTGTCATATTAATAATTGGTTCATACAAGTGGTCAAACACGAGTGTATTCTCGAGTACTATCGTACACATCCCGCATTTCGAAAAAAGTGGTTCCAAATCTAACAAGTCCCTTACAAAGCTTGAAAATTGGTTCTCAACTTTTCTATTGGCAGCTAACTCAAGCCACATTGTGGACTCTTTGGATTGGATTTCTAAACAAAGCACAACTTGATGTGCCGAGAAGTCTGTCTCATTAGGGACTACTGTACAGCTTATCAGTTTATCGGAAGCTCGTTAACGACGTCGACATATTGTAGCTACAATATCCAATGAAACGATAATAAGAAGAAGCGTCAGAACTCAAACTATAAAATAGTGGAAGCAGCTATATGCTTACAGTGGCATTTGAATGCAAGTTCAGGGTCAACCTGACTCATATCCCCGGAAATCTTTCGCCATCAGTCCATCAGTGCAGGAAATGCATATCTAGCCAGCAATGTAAAAATTGTGATTGTGATTATCAGACCGCGACATCTCTGGGGAGGGGCAATCGAATTGAATCAACAGGTGACCCTTATCGACTTTTCCAAAGACTGGATTGGATGGATGTGTATTCTGAACAGACTCCCTAGTACGTTAATCAACCATGAATGAAAATTTCAACGGCTGGAAGATGTCGAGTACCCGTAACCCGGTAGATGCGAAGATTTTATTTTTAAAATGGGAAAGTTACATCCGACCGATGACAATCTCAAAGCGGTATCCCGCACAGTCAAGAGGAATTTATCCGGCCGAATTGTGGAGTCTCTGAGCAAATCCCATACAGTAGTACGGAGTCCATGGCGACATGGCGCAAGTGTTTTCCATCTCATTTGTATATCGAGACTCGAGACTCGAGACTCGAGACTCGAGACTCGAGAGTATTGGAGGGCTGAAGCAGGGCGTGGTTGCATAAACAGACTATCAAGGGTTCAAAGGTCTCGATCAGTCTATTGTTTGTCGAGTGGGGGACGGGGGCGGTTTGGAACAATTGAACAATTGAACAATTGACCAATCGATAACAAATTGATGGGAGAAAAGTTGCTTAGAACTTCAGAAGTCATCCACACCAAATGCAAGAGCAAGGTTTGTGATTTACCTATGATCTATTATCTATTATCTATTACCTATTGCCTATTTGGGTATCATGGGATTATGGAATTATACTATTATGGTATTATACTCTTTTCCACAATTCAATCAATACCGACTGCGACCTAAGTACTCGGAGACTGTATGTAGGTAGTAGGTACATGAATTGCACATGAACTGCACATAGACTGTCTGTCTACTTACATCTTATCTTCTTTCCTTTCTCAAATCTTGCTGAAATGTTATGGTGTCATCAAACATGACAATTGTATTGACTAATCAATCATTCACCTCCTAATGTACAATGTCGTTCATAGCATAGGTAGGTAACCTAGCCTTACCCTCGAGCTCTTTACTATCTCAAGTGTTGCAGTAGGAACCAGCCTTTTCAATGAAGCCACCCCACTACATCGAGGTAGTGGTCATTCATGATTCATGTGCTTCTTGTTTACAATAATAGACACCTGCCCGTTGCTACCCCTCGCCCACACCACGGATATATCCTTGGGGAGTTAATCTAGATCCCCTCATAACCCCAGCATATCCAGCCCACGCTGATCTCCCCTTACCCGTCACACATCATATGATAACGGTTCACCCTCTGCGCCGTGCTACGAACTCCTGGCAACGACGCAACACAATATAAATTCCCTGGGCCTCACCATGGTCGTGATTTGCATAGATAGGCATTGTTCGCCAAGTTTCATACATGCACCTTCACTCATTGGATATACACAATACTGGAAAGAGTCTCTCCTGGATTCCGTATTTTGGTATAGAGGAATCCATTCACACACCGCATACAAATTTAAGCAACTGACGACGCTTTCGGTAATCGGTCCCCTACCATGCGAAAGAAGTTGCTTGGAATGCAAGTGGCTTGCGTATCACATCTTGGTTTGATGGCTTGAAACTTGCCGGTCGTAGATGCTAATTGTTCGTGCTTAACGATGTCAGTTTAAAGGGTAGTTCCCTCGTTTTTATCCCTTTTACCCCGCTGTCTGGAAGTAGTCACCTTCACCATAGAAATCAATCAGCACAATACCACCAAACGATCTCGAAACCACACACACAATACCAAAAATCCACACACAAACGCAGTACTAAGTATCTATACATGAAATAGAAGGTTCCAGCCCCCCCCCAAATCTTATCTATAATCTCTTTATATCCCATACCACCTTCATACATCCACCGTCGTATCCCACACCCTCGTATCTTAACTTTCTCCTCACGTCATTCCCCAATCGTCCATCGTCGCATCGGAAACACTCGGAATGACACGTTATGGTACATGCATATATTAATGATGGCGTAGTAATGGCGCGAAGCTTATGCAAGCCCTCGATGTCTGATGCCAGCCGCGCAAGTGTTGCTGCAGCCACTTTCACATGATACGGGCTCTGGAGACGATGAACGCAATTTCTGGGACCAGACTTTCCTTTCGGGATCGGATACGGATCTTCGGGAAATAAATTGTTTCGTGTGAAGGTGCAATTGCCATTCTTGTGGATAATAAATCATCTTGGTATATGCATATCAATGTTCCATCAATTAGGAAAGCAACGTTTAACTCGCCAATTCCCATCAGGATCGAGTAGGTTCCAATAACCCATTTCCCCAAGAAAAAATTGACAGCATCACTTATTTGATCATCGTCTTGGAAGTCAGTGGGACTCTATCAAGCATCTCTGTGAAGTATCAAATACATCTCATCTATCGACGTCGTATCCCAACCCTCCCTGCTTCAAGTGTACTGCTTCAAGGGTCCTTACTTCAATACACCGTCTTCGTCTCGTCTATGTACAATGATGTACATGATACATCCTACATGGTTCGTTGAATCAAATCTCGCATCGGGGAAACACGATGATTGAACATGTACCGAACAAGCGAGCCAGGTACCTTGAATGTCACAACATACGGATGTACAGGTACCTCTCTCCCCGGTTTCCGAATGACACTATGGAAAGTACAGATGCATCCGAGATGTCGAGGAATCGAATTGGGAAGATCTTTTGATATTTGGGGTAGTCGGATGATTATCGTAATCTCTTTTATTTGGGATGGAGTTACATATTCGATACTGCTCCGTTTGTTTTCATCATCCCTATCTCCAATCTCATAAACCACATGTGAAAAGCTTCAGGGTCCAGACAGGAAACATCGAAGCCATTGGATATGTTCTCCAAGGCATTGATATAAACTGGACACACACCCCAAATCACACCATACCACACCATATCATACCATACCACACCCTATCATACCATATCTACCACCCAAAACCCACCCAATAAAGACTCTGCAAAAGCTCAAAACGGGCGAAAGCAAGAAAACAAGATATCAAACAGGAACCTTGATAGAAACAAACCACAACGCTTCACGGTATTTCCATGTGGTGCTACCTCCACACTTTATATCAACGACAGACATGTCGCTCCACATATACATACATACATAGACACATACATATCTAAAATATACACCTACATACCGGTACATGCTTACCAACATACAATACCTACACACACACACACAAACTTCCCCCAACCCCCATGCACACACCCCCAAACCACACCAAAATGACTAATACCCCCATCCCATCGCATCCCATCCCACACCCCCCCACGACCAGGTTCCCCCACGCTTTCATAAAGCACATACCTACCTACCTACCTACCTACCTACCTACCTACCTACCTACCTACCCACCTACCACGTAGCACACAAACATATGATCCGACCTCCCAGTTTTCAATATCAACAAGTCGATCCCGGTAGGTGCCTGTAGGTAGAGTAGGGTAGGGTAGGATAGGGAGAGAGGAAATCATGTAGGTACTGCAGTGCGATGTGACACCCGGAGCGAAGTATACGGACTTGTACTTGGCCTTGTACTTGGCCTTGGCCTTGGCTTCGGGCATTAAAATCTTGATTGTAGGGTACTTGCTTGTTCTTTGATGTGTATTTTGTATCAAAAAAGCGTGATGTGATATTGTTGTTGTTGTTATTGTTATTACTATTATTGTTCTTGTTGTTGTAGATAGGTAGGTGAGAAGAGCCCATTGTATGCAAGCAGATGTAGACACTACCTAGGTACGGGTTTATAATAGCTTTCTCTGTGCTTCTTATTTAACTCTCATGCTAGATGTAAATTTATGTAGGTAGTTTCTATAGATAGGTGATCTTCTAATTCCTTACAATCCAATTCGCATCGCTACCTAGTCCTCTTATCCAACCGCTCTCTAACCCCTCCTCTCCCCAAAAGCTACCTCTTCTGGAATCCTGAAACTAACACAGAACATCCTCTTCTTCGGCGCCACATCTCTCACATCCCAAACCTTCGTCTCATACTTATCACCCTGCTCAATCTTCATCCCCAATTTCTCGCTCACCCTTTCGCAAATTTCTATATTAGCCGCCTCGTTATCTTCATTCTTCGCCGCAAAACAATGGACATGTACCATTGGCAATTTTGTTTCGGTGTGTGGAGCAAATAGGTTTTGAGATTTATGATAAAGGCCGTGGAAAGAGGGAAGGAAATCTATGGCGGTGGCAGGGAGATTCATTACAAAGTGAGAGATGGTGTTGGGAATAGTGAGGATTTTGGGAGGTGGAGGTGGTTGAGATGACGGAGGAGCACTGCGTGAGGGTCGCTTGGGAGCGATAGTAATGGTGTTTTGGTTTGTGGCCGTGAGTTGGAGGAGTTCGTCTGCGGCTTGGTGGATGAATTTGTGACCATCTTCGTTGAAGGGACGAACGAAATTTTCGACCTGAAGAGTTAATTATATGAGCTTTTGTGACTTTCAATACGATTGAAGAATGGAGTTTTGATCAGATTAAAGCGCCTTGTCAAAGGCATTCTCATCAAAGTAACCCAACTTGTGGTTTATGTTGACCGTCGTGATATTGGTATCATCATGAAGAAATGGGGCAGGATCTTCAGCAAGAGGGAGACGAACCTTATTTCTAATAACCGCATCTTTCATAGCCTTGTAACTATCCGGATTCAAATCATTTGCCCACACAAAAACCCCTTTCTTTCCTGCTGGTAAGGCGAAAGGACCCACCCCCGCCATAACGTCACAGACGACATCACCAGGCTCAAACAGATCCACCAATCGCTTGTGTTCCGTTTGCAATCTACTATTCCAATAAACTTTTGAGTAATCGAACCGAAATGTACAATCTCCTTCGCGGATTTCAACATTCATGTTATCTTCACCGGCGAGCACTTCGTACGAGAAAGTCCGGTACTCAGAAACGGTGCCCACGTCATCAATTTTGTTGATGACCGTACGGATAGTGGGATTTTTGTCCATAAGAACTGCCGCAACGAGAGATTTGTAAGGAAGATATTCGTCATGTAGGTTGAGATGGGCTGGTACTGTTAGAGAAGTTCAGACGATTGGAAAGAGGAGTAATACCAACATGCCCGACAATGGCGAAACCGACTGGAATTTCTCCTTGGGCATCTTCGGGAAGAATAGATTTCATGATATCGACTGTAAAGATTAATTCCTATAAATGCATATGGTGACCGGAAAATAACATACTATAATTCCAATGATCATAACCCAGAGTCAAATCAAATGGGATAACTCCCAACTCCTGTGCCTTCACAGCTTCATGTAAAATTGGACTCCAAGTGGTAGGATCTGCCAAATAAAATCAGAATCACATTCTACACCCCTAAGAAATCTGAGGTACTATACCATCATGTTTTACTTTGGGATTCAGAAGCAAACACTTTCCACCTTTCGCCGCAAATTCTGGATCTGGATCCGATCGTATAGGCGCAACTCTATCTTCCAGCAACATTTCTTTACTTTTTGTCAGTTGCGATCGACATTTTGATATAATTTTATTATTCATAAGCCTCGCTGCGGAAATTGGTATAGTTTTGGAAAATAGAGCACGATCGAGTACTCCCGCTGCGGAGCGCACAACGGGTGGGCGAAATAATGACATTTGGTCGTTAGATGTTACTGTAGATTTCTACGTAAGATATCAGTAAAGCTATTCGTTAATACGGAATGCGAACATACCTCCATAACTTCATATCGTTTTGTCATTTCTTGTAAAGTTTTTAATTTTGTGTGTAGACGATTCATAATTTCGCACAAGGCTGAAGCGAGAGATTTTAGATCATAAGCTAGCGATAAGGCTGGACAAGGCTATGCCCGAATCAGGTGGTGATGTCATGAAAGGCTATTTTCATTAAGATTTCCAGACGCGTTGACTGCTGTTGGTGTAGCTCTATAAAGAATTGCATCTCGAAATGTCGACAGCGAAAAGAACGATAGATTCCTTCTTCAAACCACCGGCAAAGAAACCCCGAGTATCAGAATTGGCAACAACAGAAGAAGCGAAAGCAACAGGAGAAGCATTGGTAAGTATCATACAACACAACAGCTTCATTTCGCCACTAATCAATGAAGGAACGCGAATTCACGCGTCACTCAACTTATCCATTTCCAATACCATGTCTTCCTTCATCCATATCTTCGGAGCTGTCTTCGTTTCCATCTACGATCGGCAAAGAGATAAATAATCAAGCTGATCTCGATCTTCTTTACTTTGAGCCTTACATTCCAAAGTATCTTGAACGTCAGATGTTCCAGTTTCTTCGTTCGGAATTGCCCTTTTATCGTGTGGAGTATGATATCAAGCGAGGAGGTATATCGACGCATATCAAAACTCCAAGGTATACCTTCCATTCTTTGAATGCAAGCCAATCACTAAGACTCGAGAAGGTGGACCACGGTATTCGGTCTCGATGAAACATCTAAGTTCAATGAAAATGGAGAACTTCTTGATGCCAATAGTGGTAAGAGAATCGAGAAAGAGCGATGTTACACCAAATATCCACCTCGGCCAATCCCCAAATGTTTAGACGATTTACGACTTTCCACTGAAATGGCGACGGGTTGCAAGTTCAATTTCTGTCTCGTCAACTATTATGCATCTGGATCGGATTCAATCTCATATCAGTACGTCAACGGTAGACAAGTTTCGCTGTCTTTCACACCTAACTCTGTGCTCTGATTTCAAGGCCCACTTTTCCTCTTCTCCAAATACATCGTTTCTATTTTCTAATGCAACCTCTGTTCTCATTTTCCTCCAAAATGCGTCTCTGACAGGACATACTGATTTCCCGGCTTTCAACAGTAGTGACGATGAAAGATTCTTAGGCCCATTGCCGGCCATTGCAAGTTACTCGCTTGGAGCAAGGAGAGATTTCCTCATGAAACATAAACCTATCCCGCCAAAAGATGATGCTCCTCCTCCGCCAGAAACAAAACCTATAAAGTTGCCACTTGCAAGCGGTGATATGATATTGATGCGAGGTAGGACGCAGGCAAATTGGCTTCATTCTATTCCCAAGCGAACAGGGAAGAATGCCGATGATGGGGGGAGAATCAATATTACCTTTAGACGTGCTATGGTAAAGGGTGGGACGGATAACTACTATAATTATAATGTCGGCACTGGACCCGTGTATAAATGGGATGACATCCTGAAGGAAATGAGAATATGGAAAGAATTATGATTGGATTGATTAGAAGTAAACTTCACCCACCATCCAAGTTTATATACCCTCGCATTATGATGGGATCTAATCTATCTTCCGAACCTCATCTGTGCGTTGCCATAATTATATAACGCTTGCAAGAAAACTTGATATCCAACTCCGTGATTATCTTGCACGTGAAAGATTTCTGTGAGGCGTAATTGCCATGGTGGGTATCCGGACAGTTCGACCGTTGGTCCAAATAATATCAAGAGATTTGGCTCTCCCATGATGCTTTCCGTAATTTCGGCATCAATGAGTTCTTGGCTGATATCATTCGACTCAATTTTGCCTCGTTGGGACATCTCTGTTAGCGTTTTGGTCAAGTCAACTAATGAATCCCGGCCGTCTTCGGTCGAGAGAAGTAGCACCGAAATATGCTGTAAAGAGCCAGGAAGTGTATCGGTCGTCGACGTAGCTGATGAGGATTCCATGGATGGGACATGGGGAGCTCTCATAGACAACGCTGGATGATCTGGTCCAAAATATGAGGCCAATTTTCTCACTACTGCTCGATGCGTCGCAGGTATATAACCTTTAAGAATTCCTGCATTCCATCATTAGCACGCCCCCAATCATATCTTCCCTTCCTTACTACAATCACATACCAGTCTTTTCGTACACCGACAGCATTGGAATTCCTACACATGCACACCATGCTGTAATCTCTGCTACCTCATCGACTAGAGCTTCCAATCCCGCTCCTCCTCTTGCACCGTCCTCCAAATTTAATATCACACTGACATGCTCGGGTAATCTCTCTAACCCCTTTACATCCTTCTGTATCAATCCTGGCGTCCGGTGATGGTAAAATAGAATCGCAAATATGCGATCCTTTACCGCATGATATGCTTGCCTTAATCTAATATATAATGAAAACACTGCATGCACAACAGCGTATACTAATCCGTGCAATTGGAAACGAAAGAAATTGCGAATGCCAAGATGAGAGCGGGATTTTGAAGCTGACGATTTAGACTTCGACTTCGACTTAGATCTACTTTGGCTTTTGATTGATGAAGTTCGCGAGGGTAGATCGGAAGGGAGCAGTGGCTAAGATGCAGTTACAGCGTCAATGAGTGGACGAGTCAATTGAATGGGTACCTGCAGGTACACAACGACAGGGCGAAACCAAAACATACCTCGATAAGCTTTCGTCTTTCTTCTGCTGTTAATAGCGTGTGACCACCTTTTGCATCTTCGCGGTACGCTTCGAGAGCTTTCGATTTGCTAGTCATGTTGATAGTGGCACAAGAAGTGTAAAGAACCCCAAGATAATGGATAGAAAATTGGGGAGCGAAGTGTCCTAAAATATCTCTAGAACATTTGAAAGGCTGGAATTCATTACGAGGCCACGATTTTTGAGGATCCACAGGTCTGCAAGGTTCAAGCGAGGCTGACCGTTCCGCGCCTCCGACCCTTGCTACTGATACATTGCTCCCATAAGTCAAAACGCACTTCACATACAAGCTTCATGAAATTCAAGTATGGCATCTCTTAATAGTGGTTCAGTGAGATCACTATATCCAAAAGGGCCAAGCTTTACCTTGGAAAACTTCTCAAGTAAAGACTTCATAGTGAGAGATTTTGTGGAAGAACTGTCCGAAAGTGCGATTCCGATAAACAGGCGCTCTGGACCAGCTCAACCTGCATTTGATGCCAAACCATTCATAAGAACGTTTGAAAGTATACACACTCACTTCCTCGATTATCAATACTGTCAATGCTGATGAGACTTCAGGTGCGCTGCAACAGCTTGCGACACTTTCAGATGAGCTAGAGGAGAAGGAGACAGACCTCCTGACATCTGTTCGGCGGGCCGAGATACAGCATGATCAAACATTAGACACTTTAGGGCGCAAGCTGGATGAATCAATTGACTCTTTTGAATCGCTCGATATAACACTAAATAATCCTAATGGCACAAATGGCACAACCACAGATCGATATGGGCGACCGGAGGCAGGAGGAAATATTGCGGTCCAAATCGGAGAACGACTCGAGGACTTAGACAAGCAGAGACGGCGTGCAATAGATGCCAACTTCTTAATACAATGCTGGATAGAAGTTAGTGAGAATGGGTCGCTCATATCTCTGGAAGATATGATCAGACGGCAAGGTGGAGGGGAAAACAAAGTTAGATCTGCTGTTATCGCCAGGCAGCTAATGCGCATGAGCCAGAGACTGGATCCGGCATCTTGGGCTAATGGTTCGAAAAAAGCCAATGGAATTACAAACGGCGTTGTTGGATACAAAGGCCATAACACTAGGGAAATTATAGAGAAATTCTCTGAAACGTTAGAAAAGGATCTTTTGAAACAGTTTGACAACAGTTATCGGCGCCAGAACTTTGATGATATGCTCGAGTGCGCAAAGGTCTTACACGATTTCAACGGTGGATCTAGTGTCATTGGTACATTTGTCAATCAGCATCAATTCTTCATCGACCGAAGTCAACTTATTGCAGAGGAGGTCACAACCGACAATGAGACGTGGGAGATGTTAGCCGATCCCGACTCTGAGCCCCCAGGAGTTGAACCTAGCTTACAATCTCTCATTGATGAGATCAGAGCTGTCATGCAAGAGGAATCTTTCATTATCAAGCGAGCATTTCCATTCTATGAAGTCGTCCTCATCAAATTTATTCAGCGCATATTCCAGCAATCTATACAGCAGCGTTTAGAGATGGTGCTTGAAAAAGCCGATACTATTTCTTCTTTAGCCTTCCTTAGGTCGTTGCATGCCTCAAGGACTTATATTAATAGCTTGATCGAAGACCTTAAAGCACACGGTCTTACAGAGCACCCCGAACCTTGCACAGCTCAAACTGCACAAAGTCTAGATCAGCAATTAGACGAACTATTCGTTCCATATCTGGTTGGAAACTCGTATATTGATCGAGAGAGGAAGAGTCTGGAGGAGCTCTTCTCTTCATTGCTCTTTAAGTTTACTATCTACCACTCACGGCGAAAAAAGGTTCCAACAGGCTTCATGGCTTCTTTGGCCCAGCAGGGAAGTCAGCTGTTATCTTCGGCAAAGGATGCATACATCGATCGTCTCGACTCGTCTGAACTCACCCCCACTCAAAAGGCTATGATGTTACGTGTTGCTGGCCTTCGAGACCTTGATAACAATAAGAATGAGATTGAAGTCACAGATGAAGATGGTGTGATTAGTGTCGCAAATGCCAAACGTATGCTTAAATGGCTTGCAGAAGGTGTGCGACGAGCGTTGGAGATGGGAAGTGGAAGTGACACACCTAAAGATGTCTCGGCCCTTCTGAACCTCCTGCTTAGCAGCATGGGTGAGGTGTATATCGAGACAGCGCTTGAGGCTGCTGCCGAACGAGCCGCCGCCCAAGAAAACATCAAAACCGAGCCTGATTTAGCCTACCTGCCTTCAGTGCGACCGGCAGTCATCATTACAAATGTGATGTCGCGGTTCATTAACACGGTACTCATACGCCTTGCAGAAACAAATACCACTGTTCGACGTGGCATGGAATCACAGACCAAAGCGAGTGTGGAGAGAATCGAAAAAAAGGCTAACGACATCATGCGTAGTACCATTACTGTCGTACTGAACTGGATTACAAGGCTGTTGGCAGGCCAGAAAAAAACGGACTTTCGACCTAAGGATAGTGATCTTGGTTCAATTGAGACCTTACAAACTGCGACCTGTCTTGCTATCTGTAATTTTCTCCAGCGCGTGGCTAAGAATGCCGCACAAGCTGTTGATGGGCAGAATCTAGAGGTATTTAGTTGTGAACTCGCGATCAGCATTCGAGACATGCTGTTTGAACACTTCAAAAAGTTCCAAGTGAATGCTACTGGTGGTTTGATGGTTACGAAAGATATGTCAAGTTATGTGTCCGCGCTGAAAGACTGGCCATTGACAAAGGATATCACGAGTGAAGTGGAAATCCTTAGCGACATTGGCAATTTGTTCATCGTTGGAGCAGAGGCTCTTAAAGAAAAATCGAGAGCTGTGCTTGCAAGTGGGGCCAGCAAGAAGTTGCAGAAAGCAGACTTCAAAGCTTTTGTATTGAAGAGAGACGATTCGGGAAGCGTGGGAGTTCAAAGTGTGCTTGCAGGATTATGATACCAAAACTCGAAACGGATGTCAATTGGAAAGTAGGCGTTCAGGTGTAAGCGGGAAAACAAGGGTGAATAAAAGTCATCTTATATGAGAGGGCCTTCTTCGTCGTTCACCATTATCTATAAAGTTGTACAATATTACAAGACAGATATGTTTGCCGTACATGATCTGCTCAAATATAGAGTTGGGAGGTTCTTCGTGATCCTATGAGATCCATAAAAGGATCCTTCTACGTGACCTTTCTTGGCCCATTACATCCGTCAAATCCCGCCATATAACGCCTTTTCAATGCCCAAACACCATTGTAATCCTTTAATATCGTACAGGCGGTCTTCGCCATTGATCATGGCAAATTGAACCCAAAACCAGCCATACAACTCTTATATTTTTCCACCATACTTGCGCAGGCTACTTGCGGATCCTTGGCCGTGCTAAATAGCATACATTCGTCTCGGGCAGCTTTCTCATCTTTACATACGCAGCACGGCTTTTCCAGAAACTACTTAGCTAATGTTCCAAACTGCCAATCATGAAAAGAAAACTGGTTCGTACCTTGGGCTTTGCAGAAGCTTCTCCAGTTGGTTTAAGATCTACGCCCATATTTGCGCTGGTGGCCGATGTAGCTAGTTTCAAAATCAATAACTTGCTCACTCGAAATGGATGGGGCAAGGAACGTTGGAGTAGAGAGAGAGAGACATACGCATGTTGATTGCAGATGTTGACATGTTCATATGTCGAATATCGTCTTTTAAAAGGCTTTGTAAATAGTACATGTACACTCGACTGTAATTTTGCCTCTCGATTTGTTGTGTTCGTGGAGTGTTTGTATGTGTAATTATATAATTGTATTTGTATTTGTAAGAAAGCTCCAAATTTCCATCCATCACATAACATCACGACATTATCCCGGACCGAGCGGCCGTCTGCGGCCGATATGTCGGTAAAAAGTCTCCCCGATCCGACAATGGGCCAAATCGAGATTAGCCTGTCTTAACCCTGAGCATTTGAAGACCTGCAGCTGCAACCCCCACCACCTAAAAACATTGCCGCATCCATCAATTTCTACAATCTGCAACTAGATCTCTTACTTGCAAATTTTTGTTTTTTTCCTGTCTCTTTCGAAACTTGTTATACTTGCGCAACGTTAAGACTCAAGATGGCTACCGCAACAAAAATCTTCTCGTTAGAAGGAAAGGGATTGAAATTGGATTCCGCCGCCGATGTCGAGCCGCATATCAAGACGCTGAGGGAGATGAAAGATGTAGAGGAAGTGAGATTTTTGGGAAACACTTTAGGCGTTGAGGCTTGTAGGGTGATTGGAGAGGTTTTGGAAGAGAAGACAAGTCTGAAGGTATGTCCAGTCTTCCTCCATCAATTTCTGTCTTATTCTCCTCAAGCAGCATTTTAGATGCCTAGAACGAAGGGACAAATATAGTTGCTGACCTCTACATCAAGATTGCAAACCTGGCGGATATATTTACTGGACGTTTGCTTAACGAAATTCCACAAGCCCTTTCATCCCTCCTTACTGCTCTGCTCAAACTCCCAAATTTGCACACGGTCAATTTGAATGATAATGCCTTTGGACTCAACACTCAAGCTCCGCTCGTCGCATTCCTTTCTTCGCACACTCCACTTCAACATCTCATCCTCAATAATAACGGACTGGGACCTCATGCTGGTATTCTGATTGCAGATGCACTTAGCGCATTACACGCAAAGAAAGTCGAGGCACGTGCGGCAGGAAAACAAGTTCCGGATTTGGAAACTGTCATTTGCGGACGCAACAGATTGGAGAATGGCAGTATGACGGCTTGGGCAAAGGCATATAGCTTGCATACCGGTGTAAAGGAAGTCAAGATGGTACAGAATGGCATTCGACAAGAGGGAATTAGTCACTTGTTGAGTGAAGGTTTGAAATATGCTAAAGACATTGAGATTCTCGACCTACAAGACAATACTTTTACAATTACGGGTTCAAAGGCCTTGGCTAGAGTCGTGGGAGGATGGGCCAATATTCAGGAGTTGGGTGTTGGAGATTCCTTATTGGGTGGGAAGGGGAGTGTTATTTTTGCAGAGGCCTTGAAGAAGGGCAGAAACAACAAGTTGGAGATTTTGAGATTGCAGTTCAATGATATTGGAGTAAAGGGCCTAACAGTCTTTACCGCCGCTGCGAAGGAGGCTCTACCAAAGTTGAAGAAGATTGAGTTGAATGGAAACAAATTCGACGAGGATCATGATTGCATTGTGGAATTGAAGGAGTTGTTGGAGGAAAGAAAGGAGAAGTTAGCGGGTGAGATAATCATTGAGGATGATTGGGGTCTTGACGAATTGGAGGATTTGGAAGGAGAGAGCGATGAAGAGAGTGATGAGGAAGAAGAAGAAGAGGAAGAACTAGAGGAGCAAAGAGAAAAATTGATCCATGACGCAGAAGAAGCTCAAGAAGGGGAACCTGTTGCACAAAGAGAGGACAAGGATGTTGATGACCTCGCAAAGGTTCTCGGCAAGAACCTCCAAGTCTGAAAATGGTATTACGATTATGAATGATGGATTTTGGATGATTTTGGCGGAAATGAATATTCAGGGTTGGCATGGCCAAGGAATGGTTTGGTTGGATGGGTAGAACACGTTGAGGGAAAGGAAAGGGAGAATTCGGGCGGAGCTCTTTGTGCGTACCCCCACTCATGTCACTGAAGTAGAACCTTCGGTTTTCTGTTTCATGCACATATGCAAAGCATGGTATAATTGCTTCTTTCTTGACGAAAGTTGGCGTTGCAAGCATTCCCGTAGATAGATACTATTAGACAGGTAAAGAAATGAACATTTCTTTGCCATCCAAATAAATATTATTCGTTGCCGATTCAATTTTCATCCGAGTATTGTATGATAACAAGAAGCTTATATCCCAGTAAACCTTCAGTTCATCAGAGCTCACCCAATAACATTTGTACCAAGATTATTGAGGCTCTTCCACATCATCTTCAATTCGCCTGGATGTATGTCATGTCTGCCATCAAACTCCGAACTCGGTAACCAATCAAGTTGAAAACATCCGATTCGTTACCGAATTGACTTTTTCAGCCCAGTCATCATTTTTAAGCCTCCATCTAGATCTCTTGATTATATATCAGAATTCCATAAAAACATCCAGGATCTGATTACTCACTTTACCTGCAAGAAGAACAAGTCGAGAATTCTACGTGATATATAATACAGATTCCATATTTATGTGATGAGTAAATAGGTAGGCAAAGGCCAATAAAGTCTAAGTTTAGGAGGTACCTCGGCCCTTACTCGCAAAGTGGGAGAGTTGACTATTTTTTTTTCCTTTGTTGATATATGTATGACTCTTCACTCTGAACTTGTCAAGTTCCTTTTCTATTTTACTTTTTTATTTTGGATATCTCAATTGAAGAGATGGATCCTTCTGGTGCAGGAACATGTGCGCAAATTGCTAGGCAAGATGCTAATCGAAAGGTTGATGATGGAAATACGATACCGAGTTCCTATGAATCGGGTGGCGCAAAGACTTTTGATCCAGTGGATATAGAGATCGCGAAGCAAAACACCGGATGGAGGAAGATTGTTAGGAATTTCACTCCTTCGTATGTTATTTTCTTCCATGTCATCAGTATCTGAGGGAAGACTCTTATTAGTGTTAAGATCTTTGCCACCTTCTTTTTCCTCCTTTTCAAATTCTAACATACCCCTTCTAGCTGGTTCTCCGTAACAATGGGCACGGGAATCGTATCTATCCTGCTCCATAATCTCCCCTACAATGGCGCCTGGCTGAAATATATCTCTATTATCATATTTGTACTCAATATCGTGCTTTTTTGTACATTTCTTGGTATTTCGCTGGTGAGATATATTTTGTATCCGCAAATATGGAGTGCAATGATACGGCATCCAGCGCAATCGCTATTCCTGGGAACGTTCCCGATGGGGCTGGCGACGATTATAAATATGATTGTCTTTGTGTGTGTACCGGCTTGGGGAGGATGGGTGGTTTATTTGGTGAGTCTTGTTTACCTTTTACGGTTTTGAGGAACTTGGGAGGCGTGAATGAGGACTAATTTGTATGTAGGCTTGGGCTTTGTGGTGGATAGATGCGGTTGTTTCTGTTGCGACTTGCTTCTATCTTCCTTTCGTAATGTATGTTTCCCCTCTCATTCAAATTCTCTAATTCATTTGACTAATCTCTCTCGTAGTATGTCTCTTCATAAAGTCGAACTCTCAACTATGACGGCCGCTTGGCTTCTCCCAATTGTTGCCCCTATCGTTGCAGCTGCTTCAGGGGGTATCGTCGCTTCTGTCCGTAAGTCTCTTTTTGTTGTCTCAACTCCACATTCCTCAATATTTAGATACATCCGTTTGGATTTTGCAATCTCCTTAATTTTCATCTAAATTTGGATTGCAAAATTTCCTCCCAAATCCATCACCTAAAAAATGAACAAGCAAAAAACTTACACTTCTCAGTCCCCAACCCCCAACACGCCCTCTATACCGTCCTAATCTCCTACATCCTCTTCGGAACCGGTTTCCCCCTCGCAATGACAATCCTAGTAATCTACTTCCAACGTCTCACCGTCTACAAAATCCCTCCTCGAGAAGTAATCGTTTCTGTCTTTCTCCCCCTCGGTCCCCTAGGCCAAGGCGGTTTCGCACTCATGCAATTAGGAAAAGTTTCCTTGACCCTCTTCCCCCAAACCAACACTCTCCCCGCCATCCCAGCTCCTGGTCCTGGCCCCATTTTCTATACTCTCGGTTTCCTATTCGCGCTTATCATGTGGGGCTTTGGTCTCCTATGGTTATTCTTCGCGTTGGCGAGTATTTCCCGATCCAGATTTCCGTTTAATATGGGATGGTGGGGATTTACCTTCCCGCTGGGAGTTTTCACAACATCGACAGTGATGATAGGAGCAGAGCTTCCTTCGCGATTTTTTAGAGTGCTAGGAACGGTTTTTAGTGTCTTGGTCACGGCGCTGTGGGTAATGGTTGCGGTGGGAACGGTCAAGAGGGCATTTTGGGGAGGGTTGATTTTCGCGCCTTGTTTGAAGGATGTGGAGGGGGCGGAGAGGGAGGCGAGGATACATTTTGAGGGGAGGGGGAAGAAGGGGGATAAGGAGAGTGGGGATGAGAATGGGAATGGGGTTGTACAGAGGAGAACGGGGATTCCAAGTCCGGTTTAGGGTTAGCGAGAATGTGTTTTCTCGTTTTTTGCATGCTGATTTTTTCTTTGAGTCTTTTGCATTAGATGGGTTGGGATGAAGCCCGCGCTTTTCGGGTTACTGTTTTCTACTTTTCATTATATATAGACAGATGAATTTTGTTTCTAGAATCCCTAATCTAATAACAATGCATAAAATATAAGATACCGATATCTATATACTCTACTCATCTATAAACATCTTTACATTTCAAAAATTGAATATCAATATAAATAGCAAGTTAGATCCGATTTCTAGAATTCAACTCGAGTATCTAGAAAATTGAGACCCCTATACCCTCTTAACGTTTAAAGAATTTTTAATCTCAAGATTAGAGATGGAAATTCAGTTTCTTATTATTTGTTATATGTATATGTATATATATATATATATATGTAATTATATTCATACTGTTTACTTTAAACAGCTTTCAACTTATAGATCTATTCATTGATTAGATTATTGGATTATCTATACCATATTATACTATACTATCCTAGTTTCTTGAAAGAAAGAATTTAGAAAGTGGGAAGAAAGAGAAAAGAGAGAAAAGAGAGAAAGAA